CCCCTCTTGCACCACCACCCGCTCTCTTTTCCTCTTCCGTCTCCGTTCGTTCTCAAACCCGCCCCATCGTTCCGAACCACCCCTTTCTCTCGGAGACCTCCAGCCTCTTACGAGCCGGTACCTCCACGTCCCGAACTACTTAATATTTTTTTTTAAATGCTTCCCTCGTCCGCCTTTAGCGACGGAAACCAACCCGCCCCCTGTCTCCCCCTCGCCCCTCGGCTCTGCCCAGAGGGATGGTAAATCGAGTGCCGCACGGAATTCGCGAGTGAGAGCGAATCCTTCGACGGGCCTCGACGCTTTAATTAATTAAAAACGTCTCGGCGCCTTAACGACTTGCCTGTCCCCCGGGGGCGCCTACTGGAAATGTTGACTGGATGGGTGGGGAGCAACCCCCCACGTCATTCGCCTATCTCTTTAACCCCCCCTCGACTCCTTTCGAGATTGCGCTTAAGAAAACTGGTCGTGGCGCCAATCGACTCGATCCCCCCCCCTGCCCTTCAGGATCGATCTCTTCGGGTTGACTCACCCTCGACATCCGACCCCCCTATTGCCTTTTACTTGGCCAAACTTATCTATTCGACTTTCTTTCCTCTAACCTTCCGACTACGTCTAACAATAAGTATATATATGCTATACGTTAAAACAAATAGGCACATTAGTGTATGAGACAACAGTATGTAATCTACTTCTGCACGTCCCTTCAACCATAAAATATTTTTTATATCTCACCTACGACCTATCTACCCTGTGCACGTACAATACCCTTTGAGCACCGACTACCAAAGGCGTGCAATAATTATTTATGAAGTAATTGCCACGTTATTGCACCAACGTATGTGCTCGCACTTACATCTACACCATCACGTACTTCTGTGGCAATGCACTTGCATAAGGCCAACCGTCTCGACGCCCTCAGACGCTTCGGCTTTTAGCTACCGGATAAGAAGCATAGCAAGTGTAAGACATTGAACGACGTAACCTGTACGAGACGCTCTTTTACGAGGGAATAAACTTTTTAATAATTCGCCACGCGGTATAATTAGTTCGTAATTTAATGAGACGTTCGTGAATGCCCTCGACGGTTAACCATGCCGTAATTGCTTTTTTTTTGTATTTCGTAACAATAAGTGCCCTACCTGCACTTGGACTTTGGCGTTTCAAGTCTATTGCGATGCGATGGAAAAAATTCTACGTCTCCCATTCTCTTTTCTTCTTTATCTTTTTTAGGGAGTTTTTTGGTTTAAAAATTAATATGCAAATTTTTCAAATGTCCTTTAACGCTACGATCGAAATCCTTATCGGGATCGCTCATTAATGTAGATGGAACGACTATTCGGAAAAATTCGAAATGAAACCTTATCGTCAATTACAGTAATGCGCTATTCCGTTCGATGACTTACGATCTGTGCTGATAACTATCTTAGCTCGCGTAATAATTTATTACTTGAATCCCTCTCGTACTGAATCGATGAGAAGCAATGGGCCGACTCAAAAGAACAGCCGAGTCCCTTCCGGTCAGCCTCGCGATAAATCAAGCGAGCCGATCGCCGCGCAAGGACCAATTCTGCGTGGATCGTTAACTTTTTGTTCGACCGTAGGTAATGGCCTTAACGCTCCTCGACTCCAGGCAATACGTTATAGGCACTGGAATTATCTGGCAGAGAAACCGCTCGTATAAGAAGAAACGAGCCGTGGACACTCTTTCTCTTCTTCATTTGCTTCGTCCTCCTCTTCATCTTCTTGTACCCCTTATTGCTCTTTTTTTTAACATATCTTTGAACCTATCCTTCCCTTTTTAGATATGCCCTCGTTATCTTCGCATTCATCTTATTTTTCGTTCATTTTCTTCCTCCTCTCCGCTTAATCTTTTTTTTTGGTTCCCCTCACGCGTCTCCACAATCTCATACGATTCGCAGATTGCGATTCTGGTCTCGTGAATGGGACGTTGAGGCATTTCCATGGGAATAATGAGGTGAACATTATTGTAATAAGCGACCTCGTTCTATCTATGTCGGAATCTATATAAATTGCTTTATTATCTCGTATCACTCACTTAATTCGGTACCGGTGAATAATTAAGCGATTATTGATACTCGAGTCAGTTTTCTAATGAGTTCCTGACTAACGAATTACGTGAAACTGCACTTTAGTCATCGACACAATGTATCGGCAAACAAGAGATAGTACGTAAGTGTGATAAAAAATATTACTAATTCGTCGCTGCTTAATTTTCCATTTATTATGCGTTTACTTGCAGTCTAATTTTTGCATATGAGCCGCTACGTGTCGAAATTGCATGGAATATAGGTGAAACTATATTGCTAGTAGATAGGCGACTATCCACCCATCTCTAGCTACCTACCACCTACCGGGCGGGACGAGTAACTAGCGAGTGCAGGGGCGGAAAGGGCTGCTGGAAATGAGTGGGATATAGAGGGCGTGCTCGACGCGTTGTTCCATAAAATTGTAAAACCCCGGAGTCGCTACTCGCCGAGATAGCTGCAAACAGAGGCGAGTTAATTTAAAAATGCAAATTCCGCCACGGGGAATGGGTTCCGGAGAGAGGTTGCCGGTGGCTTGGTTAGGGAGGAGAGAGAACGAGAGAGTGCTCTCTTCAGGAGAGAGACGAATACAGAGTAAAAACGCGAGAGTGAAAGCGAGAAGGAAGAGAAGGAAGAGACGTATAGCGTTCACGGAGAAAACAGAAAGGGTGATATTTATAACGTGACGTTAAATCAGTCAGCGGCAACGGCCATTTTTTTTCCATCACTCTCGAACCCCCCTCAGCGGCTCGTTGTTACTTATTTTTGCAACTGGGACACGCGGTGCTAGATTCCCATTTTTGTCGGGTTGCTCTTTTACTCGTTTCTGGAAAAAACGAGTTTTCTGTGATTTTTAACCGTACATAACTTCTCTTACGCGCATTTTTATTTCGCATCCCTTGTATCGCGTTTATTCGACCCGACGCGGTATGAAGGAGATAAAGAGTCATGTAAGAACGAAATTTGAGAATTTCATATCGCATCGTTCCTGGTTTTGCTTTATTTTTTTTTCTCGTGGGAGAATTTTTTTCAACTTTTTTACAGGGGTGAGAACCACTGCATGCAATCTTATACCAGCTGGGGTTTGTTGGGTCTTGGGAGACGCGGCTAGGCTCGTAACCTCCTCGTGGGGGAGCCGGCTGAGTGGAACGGGGAATAGGGAAACAGACTGGTGGTAGGTTAAGGGGTGGCTCGGTGGCTCGGTGGCTTGGGATATATCCGTAAGGGTGTAGGAGGGTGAGAGAAGACGCCGCAGTGAAGGAGTCGCTCACTCACTTACCACCCTCATGGCCTATAACGGCCTCACTACCAACCCACTATCCCTCACCTTCGGTCTCAACCCCCATCTTCATCCCCTAGCTGCTTGGTTGCTTGCTTGCCAAGTTGCCTGCCTGCCAGCTTGCAGAGCCGAATCTTCTACACTACAGAGTCCATACCACCTTGTAGGTATATCCACCTACCTACCTACCCGCCTAGTACCTACCCTATATTGATCGTGGCACAACCCCTCTTTAGTTGTAGATAGGTAGGTAAATACACGAACGCGAAGGCAGTACTTACTACCTACCTACGTATCTACACCTCCACTATTACAAAAGCAGGGATTTTAGTAGTACCGACCCTTCCACCTGCAGCTGGTTAACCACCAGCCTACCAATCTCTACCACTTTTCCATCCCTTTCGAACCTTCAAATCACATTTCATTCCGTGTCAACCCCCTGCCAAAAACTTTGGGGTAACTCTATTCTCTGTCTCTCTCTCTCTCTCTCTATCTCTTCTATCCCTTTTTTTCTATCCCCTTTTCTCTCATTCCATTTAATATCCACTTTCCTCGAATATCCTTTGCCAGACTCCATCCACGTTGGCCTCTACGCTCGTGTCACCTACACCTCAATTCCAGCTGTGTAATCATCGAATCGCGACCACATGGAAATATTGGTACCGGTATTCGTGGGATTGATCTATCGTCTTTATCTACTCCGTTCATTCGTTTATCTGCTCTATGGTTTATCAATCGGTGCTATCTCTCTCTCTCTCTCTCTCTCTCTCTCTCTCTCTCTCTCTCTCTCTCTCTTTCGCTTTCTCTTTCTCTCTCTCTCTCTCTGTCGCACTCTCAATTCCACGCCACTCTCTTTAGCCAATCGATTCACGTAGATACAGATGGCTTTCCTTTTACGGGAGCCAAACGGTTTTTGCCCTCTGCGAACCATCAAGGACCGAGTGGATCCTGTTACCACTCGGAGTCCGAACTGGTAAAGAAGTCCTCCTATCATTATCTCGAAATGAACCCGCAGTAGCGTAGAACTAAGAACCACTCTACTCCTCAGTGTCGTAGGAACAAGAATATGAAACCATTGGGATACGTCTCGTGTAAATTCAACCCTCTTAATTTTTTCTCTTAATTATTTCCTTTCTGCTCCTCTCTGAGATTTTTTAAAAATTTCTTTATCCATTCTAATATTCAAAGACTATTCAGTTATTCTCTTCCATGGTGTCTCAACGGAGATAGAATTTTTGTTCTTCATTCTTCGCGAGATTTTAGCAGTGACCTCAGTGGCGCCATCTCTGCTAATTTCTCAGATACTCAAGGGGCATGGTACACGAAGAGTGGAAAAAAAATGGCGTGCTTTTCTCTCTTCCCGAGGGTTGTTGCTCCTGTGCCGCTGTGCATAAATCGGGCTTGATGTGAAAGCATCTCCGGGGTAATGGAGCGCAAGGGCTGGCGAGAAGCTGTCGTGGCCAGAGGTGCCGCGGTAGATCCGGGGTAATTGAGAAGAGGAGATTTACTCTGAAACCTCTCCGAGAGAGGGTGGCATCTAGATAGGGTGACTTCCTTAGGGATATCGTGGGGTAACTACTGAGAGAGTAGCGAACTGCTGTAGCTACTTGGTACTAGACTCTCCTTTAAGTACAATGGATCTGTCTGATCCCACTGTTTCCCAGAATTCCATCTCCATGCCATCAAGAGGCCAACGAGGCCGCAATCTTTCTCAAATAGTTTGGCATTTGCTATCCTTTTTAAGGCGTCAAAGAAATCTTTTAAGACTGCGTAAACGTACCGTATCTTGTTAGTTGCGTAGACTTGAATTTTAATTTGCATACGTGCTAATCGATAGATGTTAAGTAATTTTTTAAAGATAAATCAGGAAATGAACGAATTATCGAAGAAAATTTTTTGACTTTTGATAATGAATTTTGAGCGTATTAAGATCGAATGAAATAATAGGGGTGATTCGTTAATACTAAAATGACTATCGTCTTGTTGACGTTAGTCAACGTCCATATAATATATATACACATATCAGTATGATAAGCAAGGTGGAGGCGTATACGTACACATTGCAAAGTATGTAGAATAAAAATAGCTTTGATAATACCTCCATAATAAATTTACGACATAATAAAAGTTCGCTGTAGCATCCCCTAATTGAATTTAGTTATTTTAATGTAAGAATAATTTTACGTGTACGAAGTATTAAAATTAAACTTCGTCAAATTTACCATCTCATCCTATTCATCTCCATTGCGTAATACGATAGGCAAGTATCAGATGCGTTCTTTGTACCCTGAATACCGGCTGCTTTGTTCCCTTCTGAAAAAAAAGAGGGAAAATAAATTCGTATTTCCACCCCGGGAATGCATCAGCGACATTTTATTTAATCGCGACTATAGGCCCTGGGGATGAGGGGAAGCAGGATCCAGGTATAGATGAAAGGGATGGAAGTGACGGGGTTAGGGTGAAGTGTGCGTATAGTAGGAGGAGCTAGGGCGTGTAAATCTGCCAAGGGTTGTAAATCTTGAGGGGGAGTGTGCGAGAATCACCGTGAAACGGCTGAACTCGTAGAATATCATTTGACTGGTCCCATCACTAAAAGAAAGTATCTTCGATCGCTATTTCACCGCCATATTTAATTTCATCCACTAAAGAAAGTCCCATAAAATTAAGGACGTTACTGTATCTGCCGAGAGTTATATCTATTTTTTTTTTATATTTTACAGAGAAACTCGATATCTCCGGCGGAACGTGAGAAATACAGTAGGCCAAGGAGCACGCCGGACCCTCAGCATCACGAGCACCTGCACCTGAAGAAGATGAAGAAGGAGCAGGACAAGGACATAGGCCATGTAAGTATCCCTAATGATGTCCATGTCCAACTGGTTGAAGTGCCCCCTCACTAATATGCCTGGCGATGTTCTTGGTAGCAAAGCGACGGTGAAAAGAGCGATCAGGACCTGGTAGTAGACGACGCCAGTGAGGGCCCTACGAGTCCTGCAGCAAATGGGACCTCGTCGCCACGGGAGAACGGACTGGATAAATTGGGCCCAGCGTCGGTACCCATGAGTAACCAAGTGAAGAAGGAAGTCCCACCACCATCCCCTAGAAGCGGCACGAGTAGCAATGCCAGCACGCCTTCGGCGAAGAAGATGGAGGAACGTGAGAAACCGACGACGCCAATCTCGAAACCGGTAACACCGACGTCCGCCGGTGGCAGCAGTTCTGGTTCGGGTGGTTTAAAAGCTTCCAGCTCGAGCAAACCTTTGGTCTCGGCTTCGGCGGTTGGTCCTTACCCTCCGCATTACCCACCGCCTCATCATCCACCGGCTGGTCCCCACGTGGACATGCTAGGATATCCTCCTGGGGCACTGAACGGATATCCGGCAAGACCTCCTCTTCAGCAACTTTATGACCCTCATGGGGGTATGAGAGCGCCACTTGGTCCTCTTGGTGTTCCTGGTGGGAAGCCGTAAGTATCACTCCTATTGCGGAATGTTATTCTTTTATCGTAGCCTTTTCTCTGGTCGTAAAGTGATGGACGTGAAACAAGCTCTTAACGCTTCACTTTTTTTTTTTTTTATAGGGCGTACAGCTTTCATGTCTCTAGCGAAGGTCAAATGCAGCCCGTACCATTCCCCCCGGATGCCCTGATGGGTCACGGAATACCCAGGCATGCCAGGCAGATCAACACCCTCACCCACGGAGAAGTTGTCTGTGCGGTGACCATCTCGAATCCGACCAAGTATGTCTACACCGGTGGCAAAGGCTGCGTCAAGGTCTGGGACATTGGTCAGGGCGGCAGCGGTAGTGCCAAGCCTGTGTCTCAGCTGGACTGCCTCCAAAGGGATAATTACATCAGATCAGTGAAGCTGCTGCCTGACGGAAGGACGCTTATAGTTGGTGGCGAAGCGAGCAACCTGAGCATCTGGGACTTGGCGAGTCCGACGCCGCGAATCAAAGCGGAATTGACCTCCTCCGCGCCAGCGTGCTATGCCTTGGCCATTTCCCCGGACTCGAAGGTCTGCTTCAGCTGCTGCAGCGACGGAAACATCGCCGTGTGGGACCTGCAGAACCAGACGCTGGTGAGACAGTTCCAAGGACACACGGACGGCGCCTCCTGCATCGACATCTCTGCCGACGGCTCGAAACTCTGGACCGGCGGTCTGGACAACACGGTGCGTTCCTGGGACCTGCGGGAGGGTCGGCAGCTTCAGCAGCACGACTTCACCTCCCAGATATTCTCGCTGGGCTATTGTCCGACTGGCGAGTGGCTGGCAGTCGGTATGGAGAACTCGAACGTGGAGGTCCTCCACGCGACGAAGCCCGACAAGTACCAACTCCACCTCCACGAGTCCTGCGTCCTCTCGCTCCGCTTCGCAGCCTGCGGCAAGTGGTTCGTTTCCACGGGCAAGGACAACCTGCTGAACGCCTGGCGAACACCTTACGGAGCCTCGATATTCCAGGTGAGCACGCATTCATGCGATGAGGTAACCACGTATCGAGGATGATGTGTAACGTCGCACGCACGAATGATCCTCCCTTTGACTAAGCATTCGGTAGACTTAACGAGTGAAGCACCAAAAGTATCACCAATCAATAACGATGCACTTTATTTTACAGTCGAAGGAGTCCTCATCGGTGCTGAGCTGCGACATCTCGACCGACGACAAATATATTGTGACCGGATCGGGCGACAAGAAGGCTACGGTCTACGAAGTGATATTCTGAGCTCCCGACGATGTCTCTCGAGCGACTTGTTAATATATACTTAAAATGTACGCTTGTTAAGATATTTATGGAATTAATATATCTAGCAATTATCACGTATGTTTAATAATCAGGATGACAGTACACTCGTCTAGAGATGCACGATTGACATACGGTTAGCCAATTCGCAGAATGATTGTAGATAACGTCATCATCACTGCGATTTTATAACAAGTACCAGGATAAATTGGTCTAGCAAGTCATGTGGGATCCGCTTGGATCTGAAAATGTGCTCTGGCTGGCGTTGCGTCTACTGATTGGACAAAATAATCCAAAGAGGCATTTGTATTTCCCGGCAATTGTGTGTCACGTGACTTCACGGTGCTGCCCTCGCGCGTTACAGCGTGTAACTAATGAAACTCGAATTGCGAACTGACTGAAAGACGAAGAACAGAAATTTTATGATCTGACGCTATATAAATATTTGAGAACGTAAATAGCTGTTTAAGATTGTATAGAACTTACTACAGTTATAAGTAGGAATCGCTGAGAAATATGAACAAATTCGAGAACGTGATAACACGTTGCCTCATCGAGCGAACGCGAAGATAAGAATTTACAAATCATTCATCATGAGACAAAGAAATGAATAGAGACACGTGATAAAATAAATAAGGTTGCACAGTTTAAAATGGGTACTACCGTGTAATATAAAACATCTACGTGTGCTTAAAAAGAAGAATTAACAAAAGCGTAAACTCATTATTCTTTCTGACGAAATATTTCACTTCTTGTTTTATGGACTATCGAAGTGAACGGAACACAAACGAAAATGCAAAAAGGAATAAGTTAAGTTAAATGAAGAAGCAAATGTCGAAAATGAACATCTGATGAGGTATTTGAGTTTAAGGAAGTTTAAGATGCGTCTGAGAATAATGCAAGTAAAATCGAGAGCATGTGGATTCGTGTGCACGCGTAGTATGTACGATGAAGAAGTCATGTAGATGTGTTTACAAAATGACAAAGGATTGGCATGGATTGGCAAAACAATTCATAGTACGTGTCAAGTGTGCGTCTGCAGAAGCCTCTGAAAGTAGGCACATCCCGTTGCGAAGTTATACATAAAAACAGTATAATTGAATGTAGAGAATGAATTTGTTCTTGCGAGACTGCGTTATTTCTTACAAGATAATTATGTAAAAACCAAGCGGGTTTTGTGCGTTTGTGACGTACCATCTTGATCGACTATTACACGGATTATATTATCCATGGTAAACACTCTCACGAAGTGTATGACTTGTAACGTGTGAGAGTACAGTCTTTACATATTTTATTGTCACGGCCGCTGTGCATAAATGCACGTTATACGCTTACCTAGCGCGATGATACTCGCGGTATCCGTGCGATTATAGTTTTGACTGTGACTGTAAACTTGCACGTTCAATCATGAACGGATAGTTTGCGTTAATGGATATTTACTGCTAGGCTGTATTGGTCTACTGTGTTATTATCAGAAGATAACGACGATAAGAATGAAAATGAGAGTGAGAGATGGATGTGGAAATAATGATAGAGAATGAATGAGAGTGAGATTGAGTGTGGGTGTGAGAGTCAGAGTGAGAAAGAGAGTAGAAATAGAAGAGAAAAAAGCTGCGAATTTCACTGAGAGCCAAAAGTATTAAAATATAACAGCTTCGAGATATAGAGCCAAACATGAAATACAGATACGTACAGGAATATTATATTTTGTTACAGGAAGACACGAAATGATTTCGCTGTGGTTGTGACAAATAATCGTATGTGAAAAAAAAAGAATTGTATATTGTATTATTATATGAAATCAGTATGCGCAACATGCTCTGAGGACTTGGGAATATTTTGTCTGGTATCGCAATGGATTGATTTTCTAATAAGTCTGAGGTACAGCTCAAGCTGTGTTCAGAATCATTATGATATTGTTAAAATTAGAAATGTTTTATGCAAAAATTGTCATGAATTTGGTACGACCACAGCTTTGATCAGCAATAGACCAATAGAAACAACGATACCTCAAGAAGACTCAATAGTTAATTATCGTTAATGAATTGATTGTACAAAGCTTGTATTCTTTTACAAATAACGCAGGAAATTCTTTTGCTCTCGGTATCCACGTAATTGTCCATCCCATATCCTTCATCATGTCATTATACTATCAAATTCAATGAGATAATATAGACAAGGAAATTTCTTTCCTAGAAGATTTTATTATCCATTTCTTCAAGTGTGTTCCTTGTTGTTTTGCATACAGTTACATGAAAACTGAAAACAGTTACATGAAAACTGACAATTTAACATTTTTATACACAAATCTTGACACACAAATCACATAAGAAATATTCATTCCATTATCATCTTTTGTGTTAATTTTCTCATTGTCATCTCAATTCTTGTCTTTTTCTTTACCATTATTTTTTTTAAGGAAAAAATATTAGAAACTGGACTGTATGTTTTATTCTTCTCTTCTTTCTTTGTAATATGTCTATGGTGTCATCAGTCAATGTGGAGATGAAAATAGATACTTTCATTGTTTCAAAGAAGAAATGATCGATAATACCTATTTTATCCATGGACTTCCTATTGCTAATCATGCAGCGTTACAATGCATCTCATAGGCTGTTTACAAGAATTGAGTAAATATTTGTTTGCGTAACTATTGAAATTTATAGTTCAAGTAACAGTTCTAATTGATTAATGTCAAGATCATTCCAGGTATTCTTTATTAAGTTTCACGAATTATTGTTAAAAAACGCTGTGTGATCTCCAAAAGAGGCTGGGAACTTTCGACTGCATATCTGCCTGAAGCAGTACCTTTCCAATATCACATGGTAATATATAATATCTGTTGTGTTCTTGAATTATTGGACAATTATAATTGTATATCAACACTGTACATACATATAAATGCACATTTGAGATGCACAGAGACAAATGGGAGGAAGAAAATGATCCAAGTACTATGAGCGAATTTGTGCGAGTCCTTATCTCGTGGTAGAACAGTCGACTTCCCTTGCAGTGATACCACAATAATCCATTCAATATGGGATATACATAAACTTCATGTTCTATAATTGCCAAGCAACTTGACCAAACTTTACAGGGACACTCAGAGACACTGGTCTCAAAATCATTTGACAATTGTGGACAACTACAATTGTTTAATTTAATCATTCTGCCACTAGATGATGCCATTTTCCGAAAATAACTGTCACTGTCAAGTCCTTAATACCTGTGTGCATCCGGAAAGAACACAATTATACTTGCAGTATTGACAGTAAATTTTGAAACATAAGGCTACCTAATGATCAAATAGTAAAGCTAGACGAATATAACGTGTCGCAATTCTGAAAAGATTTCGAAAATATAGTTCCACTAAGTAGATTCTAATAAGATTCCTGCAAAAAGTTCCAAAATTTTAGAAGCATTAACACTAGAGCAATAAACTTGTAAAAATTACAGATTTCAGTCTATAGACGTCATATGTGAGATGCGCTGTTGGATATAAGCGCCGCGTGTTTGGCATGTTTTGTTACTGAGCGTTTCGCAGTGAAAGAGCTAATTGATCATATGATAAAACAGGTAAGAATCAATAATCACTATTCATACTTACCGATTGCTGCGACCAAAGCTACATTTAGGCTGGACGCTGAAAATAAATTAGTCTCTTAATTATCTGCAATCTAGTAATCGTACATAGAACACGAAAACATGAAAGCCTAGATTTTTATTATAGTATCACGTAAGTCGACATACGATTGTTTGATCATTGTTAAAAGTTTATTTATTTTATATCGCACAACAATGCAACACCACGAAGCGTCCAGTGCCTCGGATTGTAATCTGTTTCAAAATCAATCGAACCAACGTATTTCTGATCTGTTCTTTGCGGTTTTCTGTAGATAGGACATTCGTATAATTTCGGATCCTTTCCCGCAGTGGTGTTTATCGCATAGATATAGATAACTGACATCTGCTCATAAAGAACCTTTGGTTTACTTTCAACTAATTTTCCCGATTTTCGATCAAGAGACGCTCCCTCTAGAAATAATCCATGGACGTAGACGCCCTCTTGCGGTGGCTCCTTGACGTCTTCTTTGTTGTATCGCGTTATCAGATTTTGCAGAACTACAGAGTCCAAGGCCCATCCTTTGTGAGCTCTCGTGACTTCCTATTAAAGGAAGAGAATCATGAAATTAATTTTTTTAGTTTCGTATAAATGCTACTTCACAATTTTATAATATTATAGCGAAAACCAACTTGTCGCATCGCAGTCAAGAAACCTTGAGGATTGAAAAAGCCCGTCATCCAGAAGACGCTTGGGCGGCCATTATTGCACCATTGCCGAAACTGATGATCCCTTTCCAAAAGTTCGGTATACCAAAAACCAAGTGTTGCCGATTCCCAGGAAACCTTGAGCCACCTTTCTGGAATACGCGCGTCATACATGGCATCCAAGGATTTCCGTAAACCTTGACTCATAACTATAGTACCATCTATAGCTAATTTTAAATCAGTTAAGGTTGTGTGAACCTCACTTATCACTCTGGTTATCCTGCAACATTTAAAAGATTTCTCAATTATTTTCAATTAATTCAATGTATAATCGACAGTACTGTTGCCAAAAGTATAAGGAAAAAAATAAATTACATAAAAATAAAATATTCGAACAAACAGATATGCTGTGATTCACGACTGGCTAAATCGTGCGGTCGAATCTTATGCGTTAACTCTTGTAAAACAAATTAATTTCACACGCAAAATTTTTAATCTGGAAATATTCGACAATTGCAAATATTACTGTTCTATCCAGATCCCTGGACACAGACGTACGACATTATTTCTTCAATTTTTCTGCGTGTGCATTTTGAAACCAGAAATCAACAAATATCGTGCAGCATCTTCCATGCGATCGTGCTTAAAAAGTCTTCGTAATCATTTAAAAATGACAGTAATGAGAATTTAACGTTTATCTATTTCTATATGTGATACTAACCTATCTATTTCCTGCCTTAAAAATATATTCATGGGGAACAATGCTCCCATTCTCTGCAATGCCTCTCGGACTTCAAAAGCATTGTATTGTTGGGGCAATTTTGCCAACATGTCTTCGGCCAATTTATAAACAACGCTTTCTCGGGTCTCCCCGCCCTGAGCGCCACCTTCTTTCGGCTGTACATTGAGAATGGTGTCCAAAATACCCTTGGCTGTATTAATCTGATAGGTAATATCAGCATTTGAGTGAAGACCAAAAACTTCGGGCGTGTCGGTAGCGGGCAATCCATTAATATAATCGATATATCCCTGAAGACTTCGAGTTTGAGGAACCCTGTAGCCACGATAAAATTCAAATCCTGGCCGAAGAAGCACGTCGCAGAACCAAACGTGCGTGAAGGTAGTCAGAAGACGTTTGTCAAAGTCGTCGGTAACTCGACCACCGTACTGAACCTTGAACCAGAGAATTTTATGAAACGCATTAATCTTAAAAAGAAATTCAACTATAGCAAAACAATACCTCTCCAAGCATGTAACAAACGGTAGGCCAGGATACGCCTTTCTTAGGATCCATGTCGTCCAAGTGATTCTGTATGAACTGTATGGACGCTGCAAAATCCGCTTGATTAAATTCGTATGGCACGTTCCAACCTAGGGGACCAAATTTTCTACGTTCCTGTACAACGGTGTGTAAAAATGCAACGGCGTATAACAATGGCGGCCATTGTGGTTGTGTACTGTAATCCAAAGCATCCTGCGTGACACCGTGATAAGTCCTTTTCAAGCTAGCGCGAATGCCTTGAGGTGGTTCATTCGTAAATTTTATTGCCATCTGAGACAAGTTAATAAAATTATACGGACGAAGAATTGAAATTAAATGTAATTAGAAAATGAGTTATTGCAACTGATACCTGAAGTAGACCGATAGGGAATTGAGCATGCACTTCAGTAGTCATCCATAGTCGAAATGATTCATTGATATTATCGGTTTCTACAAGAGCGTCCATTGCTTCGGTACAAAACGGAAGTGACAGATGTATATTTTGCAAAAGTACCCAACCTCCGCAGGTCATGGCATCATTGATCATTCTACGAGCGTGAAATTCTTGACCTTGGCCCATAGATACCGATCTTAGCGCTGCAACGGAGAAAGTTCGCGAAAGTTTACAAGCCTTCGGTAAATCAGATTTTTCGATTGCAATAAAAAAAAAATTAACGACTCACGTGCTGATTTTTGCTTGGCTAACGCAGTGATCTGTGGACTAGGATCCGAACCAACGGACAGTATACAAATAAGTGGAGTCCTTGGTTCAGATTCCAGCCAGGTTGCCTCCAGATCCAAAATCCTGGCTTCTCCATATTCTTTACCAAGAGACTCAATGATGTATTTCCTTGCTTGCGACAGAGTACGATCAGGACTCCAGGATCTAATTAGGAGCAGCTTCCTGAAGACGTCAAGACTCTTTTGATAGCCACAAGGCAGTTCCTCTTCTTCAGGTTTCTCCTTCTCGTACCAATGTTTCCATTCTTTCTCATTGAATTCAATCTTCGTCAGCACCTCGGAGAAGACCTCGAGTTTGTTTATCTCCACCAGATTCAGCCACGTTATGTCCAGGATCCACTTGAAGGGTTTGGGTGCTACCGCATTAAGATCCAAAGACGCGCCGCCCTTGATAAAGGCCATAAATTCAGCATGAGATATCGCACCTCGGTGACAGTCTATTTTCATAGCCAGCATCAGGGTGAAGAGGGGTTTGTGTCTCTCGTAGAGACTCCTCAGGGTGAATCCCCAGACTTCGTACGTCAGATGACGTAGGATGATGTCGATGCGCTCGCTGGTGATGTTGCTCTTGGCGGACTTGGTGATGGAGGCGTCGAATATCGTTAGGAATTGTTTTAAAGAGTTTTGGTACATGACGTTCACGTTGCTCATTTCCACGATCAAGAAGTAGAGGATGGACCCTCTTGCCGCTACTGCTCTGAACTCTTCTCTGGCTACAGTGATCTTCCTCTCGGTCAACGCGGACACCTGGAGTTTCTCGTTAACGGATTCCGCTGTAGATTTCGTCTCACGAAGAACTCCTATGAGGGCTTCATCATCCACCAGTGAACCTTCCGAGGATGTTAATCTATGAAGCAGAGTGCTCTCCAGCTCTTTCATTGATCGTTGATTGGTCATTACTGATTCAAATAGAGCAACGCGTTCAGCCTCCAGATCAGCCTTTTCCATTAGGATCACTCGACCTAGTAGCTGATCCTCCAAACCCTGCATAGTCACAGTGAAATCGATAATTGAGGTCTTGGCTGATATCTCAGGACTATAAGCAGGATTTGGTAACTTGGTTGTTATGTAGAGCATGAATCCAGGCATGACGTCGCACTCTTTGTCACCTACAATCACTTTTTCTATGGATCCAGATTTTATGAAGTTCTTCTCGAGCACGTTGTCGATTACGGGATCTAGCTCTTCGGCAACGTCCTCGATCAACAGTGGTCTTCCAAGCGATAAACTGTCCTCCAGGTGAGTCCTGAAGTATTTGTGATTCAGAGATGTAATTTGTAACTCGTTTGAAGCCTCCTTATTCTTTATCCACATTTTACCCTGGTTCTGCGGATCCACCAGCAATGGGTATGACGATGATTTAGTGACGATCAAAGCGTTCTGCACTGATAATTCGTCATTCGGTAGACCTTGAAGCGTCCATTCGGAAACTGTGGCCGTGTCAACGAGCATGTTAGTGATGTTCAAATTTTGAGTAAATGGGATATTTCGGATCGTCAAAATTTCCATCCAAGAGATCACCAAGCCTGCTCTATATTGCTGATTGTATGGTCCACAGTAAGATAGAAATCCAGTTGCCAATAAAACATCTCCAACTAGTCTACCTAGTTGAACCTTAAACTCTCCAGACTGTTCGGTCCACCTGATCTTCTCACCGCCTAATCCATTAATCAAAGCCGTGGCAGCGGTCATTTTTCTGAGACAAACATTGGCTGCGTCCGTTAATCTTTGTTTCTCCGAAACCGCAGCATCGTATTGTTCCTTTACAGCTTGCAGCGCCATCTCTCTCTCGGATAATTCCCTCTCAGCATTTGCCAGGTCCTCCATAGCTACCTTGAGTCTCGCTTCTTGTAAAGTGAGATTTGCCTTTAGAGGAAGGACTTCCTTGTTCACCGAGTGGAAGAACGCCATTGCTTTGGTCCAGGACAAGAGTCCTGCCACGTCACCACAGACTCTTCTGGCAGTCTCCATATTATAGTCCTCCATTTTGAAATAGGGTTGTAAAAGCTCGACCATTTCATTATTAATAATGTCCTTAGGGTAGTTTTGTAACTGTAAAAGGAAGGTAGTACTCGCCATCATTTTAAGGGATTCGGCCCAGGAGGGCTTAGGACATGATGCGGTTGTGTCTGGTACAATTGGACCCAGTTTTCTCTGAAACAAGATCAGGACGCAGTCCATGATTCTCATGATCAGATGAGGAGGTCGACCCAGTTTTCTAACAGTCGCTATGTGAGCTGGTTTTATTGTGTTTAAGGCTGCTTCCGCTTCCTCAAGAGCTGGTTTCGCAGCTTCCAACTTTTGTTCCGCCAGTGCTTTCTCTTCAGCTATACATCCAACCAATTGTTCCGCCTTCTCTTTGACCTTTTGAACCTGATTCTTAAAGGTCTCAGCCTGCATGGCTCTTTCAGTCACTTCCAGTAATACAGTTTCAGCTTTCTGGGATGCCTGAGCCAATTCCTGCTCCATCAGAGCCAGGTCTCTCTTCAGCAATTCCACGGATATAGAAGCTTCCTCTAACTTAGCTAAACCAGTGTCCATCCTCTTGGCACCTTCACCCAGTTCGTGCTGCTTTGTACGATAAATATTCTTGTAGCCCCCGATGAAGTTCAGGTAAGACTTTGGTGTGACATGGGTGGCTCTTCTGAAACGTTGAAAGTACTCAGTGGAAGTTTCAGCGACTACATCCTGTATAGAACCCAGGGCGTTCACTAAGTGACCTTTGACTTCTGGTGTACAAGCGATTTCAAAATCATGGAGGAAATGCTGAGCTACCAGAATCAGAGCGTCTTTAGGCCAGGGTTGAAACCAGTCTATAGTGCAACCGGATATTAGAGCTGGGAATCTTTGCGCCCTGTTCCTGAATTTCTCACCCACCGGTGAGAAACAGAAGACTACATGGAGGTTCTGGCACGTCCTCTGAAGGAAATATTCCATCACGAGCTCATTGTTCAGTGTCCTCTTTGGATTCTCTCTTTTAAGAGAGGGTGTCAGTTCTGATATTATCTCAGCCTGCTCGTCACGAGTAAAGAGATTGCTGATAACACCAGAGCTGAGAATGTTATTCAGGTACTCAAGGAAGCCTTCCTCTTTAATGTCAAGGTCAGTGAAAATAAAAGTGGTGCCCTTACCCTGAGCACCACACGAACGGTACAGGAATTTCAAGTCCTCCAGAAAATTCGTTACGTTGTACGACCTCGTCAGTGCTATTTGAAACGTCTTGTAGCCAGCTATAAATGATGACAATTTAGTTAAACTTTGCTTCCCGGAACCACCCACACCGACCAGCATCACGTTTCCCCTGGGATGTCTTATGACCCTTGAAATCTTCACCAGGTGCAACATGGCGTCCGGGAAGAAGACCAGATCCATTCCAGCTCCACGTTGCATCTCATTGTACTGCGATAAGAACATCTCTAGTCTATCCTTGAGAATTTGTTGGTCGAACACAGGCTCGTACACTTTTGGTAGTTCCATGTCCGCATCCTCACCTTCCTCTCCGGTGGGTTCCGGTGCGTCCCTTAATAATAATAAAAATACATCACAAATTAGATTTTTTAAATTGAATTTGCGTCAGATATCTCACCTCATAAAGTCCACGAATGCCGGTTCAGGTTCCACCATCTGAGTAAAGCGTTCACCAAGAACTTCTTTAATAACGAGTACCAGTTCTTTATCCAACCAGTCTTTGTCCGACTGCAACGTGAACCTGTCACTGAAGACCCGTGTGCACTCGTGCTTCCACAGAAGCATTAAAATACTTTCCCTTTCGATGACGGTCGAGAGAGTGCCTACCATTCCCTGCCAAATACGAGAGAGGTCGCGGAGACTGAAGACGTAGTGAAACTTGGCAGGAGTAGGTAACAATTTAGCACGGGTCCGCTGCCACAGTATTCTGGTCAGTGGTACCAACTTCTTGACGAGACTTCTGATCTCCGTTGAAAATCCTCTCTTGGAATTGTAGTGACCTTCGCCGAGGACACTGAAGATCCTATCGATGGAGGAGTCGTTTGGTAGAGTACAATTGAAGATGCAGAACTGTCTCTTGAGTCTGGATGGTATATCGTTTCTTCCACCACCTGGTTGACACATGGCGCCGAGAAACGTGACGTCTACGATTGTCGTGAAGTCACCTGGTTTCTCCAGGGAGTAGAATCCTTTCATATCCATCGTCTGTCTTACAATCTCATTAGTGACCTGATCTCCCCATTCGTTTATCTGGGGTAGATTAATGTCATCTATGAAAACCAACATCTTCTTGCCACCTGGCGGGCCGAACGTGCTGCCCATACGTTTCTCAATGTAGCTTTCAATAGTCTTTTGGAATTGATATGACGTTGTTGCTGAGCTGAAGTTGAAGGATCTACCGAGAGTGGTCTCAGGATTAGCCTTCTTCATGTATGACTTCATCATCACCGTTTTCGCCGAGCCCTGCTCTCCAATCAGCAGGACAGCCCTGTCCTGTCGTCCTATAAGATCTATCAGATACTGAATCCTTACATTATCTGGTATGGGTATAAGGATGCTGCTATAATCCGGAGTGGCATAATCGGGATAAATGTAATTAGTGACCATCGTGGTCCAGGTATCCCACTTTCCCTTTTCATTCACCATGAAATCAAAAACTGTCGCATTTGGATACTTTTCCGAAGTAGGAAGATCAAAATTCTCCATGTTCTGTCGCAGGTACTCGTCGTATTTGCGACGATCCTCAGTCTCTAGAAGAGCACCAATTCCCCAGACCAGGGCGAAGACGTATAACCGTTGTAGATGATCCGGGGTCATTGGCTGTGGCTTGTCCTTCTCTATGTCATCATCGTCTTCATCAACCTCTACGGGTATCTCGGGAGGGACCAAGCCTTCTAAAAGACATAACATTTGACGTACTATGTTGCACTGTAAAACCTTAATGGCCAGCAGTAACGTTTGTGTACTCCAGGCGTAGGTCGACGCAAAGGAATCGTTAAAAGCCTTCTCAAAAACTTCCTCTTCCAATGTAGTGCGTCTTTTGAGCCACGCAGTCACTACCGGCTTCCAATCCAAACCGGAAGAGCTCATATAGACCATCCCATTTCGTGAAACAGTGGCGGGACTAGCATTGTCTATATTGTGCGGTTCGAAAATGATCTTGCAGGTAGGCGCCATAGCTAATCTGTCGCCATTGGCTAAGGTCAGGGTTTTATTGTCGTCAAGGACCGAATTAAGGTTTTCGATCCAAATACTATCGACTGGTCCATCCAGCACGAGCCAGACGTACTCTCCCTTTTTCAATTTCAAGGTCTTACGCCATAACGCTGAAAATATTCCATCGGTCCAGTCATTAGTTGCTACGTCCAATCGTCCAAACATCTGCGCTGCTGTTATGCTCTTTGGATTCATTCGCATTTCTCTGGATGGAATGATCATTCGTTATACTTGCCATACCGAGTGATTTATGCTCTTGTTTCTGACTTCACTCACCTGTGACTATCACCGCACTGAGTCAGTGCTCTCATCAGTATCTGGATGCAAGTGGTCTTCCCTGCACCAGTTGGACCTAAAGTCATTATGCCATGTCTGACTCGTTGTGTTTCGTACAATTGGATTAGTTTAAGAACCCACGGTGGATGATAAACAAAACCAGCTTCTTGAACTTGCTGATCTATGGCTGCTTCTAGGGTAGGATAAGAAGTCTTTTCGAGAGCCTGATTAGGAAAGAGATCTGCCACCAATGATATGAATAATGGCTCATCTTCATCTGTTCAATCGAAATGACATTTGTTACTGATTAATATTGTTAAACAAAAATATTATTAGACGTTACAATAAATGTCTATGCAAGATATCATTTGCATGTATTATCAGAGTTTTATGAACGCCCAAGGGAATATTTCTATAGTCGATCACTAGTATAGTTTTTATTATGAAAATTGATGATTTACCTATCAACTTTGACAGATTCATATCTCTGAGTACTCTCATGACTATGGTGCTCTCTGAATCTTTGGAATTTACTCTTTTAGATGCTCCTAGGGTTCTAAGAACCGAGAGAATGTTCCTTAGTCCAAAATCATAGTGAACCTGGAAACATCATATTGTATCACGTGATCTAGCTAAAGAGTATCATAAGTTTTCGACTACCTGTTTAGTAAGTTGCTCCTCGCACAATTTATAAAGAGTATAAAACTTTCTAGCTAACGTGATATTTTCCAAGAATCCACAACTAGCCAATTTCACTCTGATGATGATCTGTCTGTCTGGTACCATCATAGCGACGGTACGAAATTGTATCTTTAGATTTTCCGGAAGTTCCTTCCTACCCGCATATCCTGGATTCTATGAAATAACGAATTACCAAGCATATCTCCACCACGCTTCGGATACCTATTTTGAAGTGGAGTGAAGTCCACGGAAATAATTACCATCGTTATAAATATACCCAACTCTGGGCACAGGTCTATCTGATCACCGTCGGTAAAGACGAATTGCTTCTTCTTTTCCTTCTTTGCAGCCAGGACAACCGCGACCTGCTGCGCTGCTACAGAGAGGACTGGCAATTCGATCCTATTAAATTCGTCAAAACATCCCCAGGATCCACTCTGTGCCAATCCTTTATAAATACGACCCAATCCTCTGTAGTCCATTTGATCGGAACAGTTGAACACCACCACGTACTTGGCCAATGTCTTCCCCATATCTTTTACGGTTTCTGTCTTTCCGGTTCCTGCCGGTCCACATGGTGACCCACCCATTGACATGGCCAGTGCTTGAGCTAGAGTGATGTAGCACCTGTAGTAAAGAAGCAAGGCGTTTATAAAGTTGTCAAGAAAAAACTATCTACTTGAAAGAGGTATTCTGTGGTTGTTCTATGTATTTCTTTTAATAAATCCTTCTGTATATTCTACCTGTCGGTCAATGGAGTGATAACCAGACGCTCCGTGCAGCCAAGATATTCATTTTGATACGTGAATTGAACGTCAGTGATGGATATGGCTGTCTTGTCCAAGTCCTCTTTGAAATAAAACCGACATTGCTTTAGCCACTCGAAATCGTTAACTGATCTGACGTTCATTCGACACTGTCATTGAAAACAAATAATCAGCGTTGATATTTAATATTCTTATTAAAAATTATTAGCCGTATTATTGTTAGTTAATTTTACCAGAATATCGAAAATGTCACGTTGATGTACATGGATTGTGATCAAGGTTTCGAATTTGGTTCTGTCGATTTTTGTCAAATCTCTGGTAGTTTGGTCAATTAGTGTATTTAGCAGTTCCAAAAATCTGTTGTTTGTTTCACCCATTATTTTTTTATCCGCTCTCGCTTGCATCAACGCTAATTCAGCATCCCTGGTCCAGATCATCTGAATACCTAATATTCCCACTTGTGCTGGCATTTTCTCCAAAAAGCCAAGGAGATTGAAATTCTGATCATTTATCATTCCATTGGATTGCCGTATAATTGAGTGAATAGACTGTTGAGACGTTTGAAGAAGCTGCATCAGCCAGGTCTCTACCGATCCTTCAGCTCTTACTGCTCTTTCCAGCTAGATATGGTATTAAGATTGTATAAGAAAATTTCAAAAATTTTGGTAAAATAACATTGGATAATAATAATAAAAAAATGTTTAATCATCACCGCAATAGTTTCTCCCTCCGATGAGACAATTGCGGTCATCTTATTATATTCAATATCGTGAAATTTCACATATCTAGTGTTATCAAATATAGATAACAAATGATTCTGTATGGTATGCGAATCGGATGCCTGTCCCAGAATCTCAAGAAGTGCTGGATCCGATACAAAGAAGAATCTTGGGAACATCATCCGTTTCTTCTCCAAGTACCTGAATAGAAACAATTAGTTGTAAAAGTGTAAAAGGAAAAAGAATATTAATTTATAGACTTTTAACCCATAAGCATAAGTATACCAAAGGCATCTTAGAACCGAACGCTAAGGTTCAGCGATGAAAGGTCAATAGTTAACCATAAAATTTACCCGCTTAATGATTTTTGACACAGCTCGAGCTGTTCCTGAAGATGTGGCAAAAGTTGTTTGAGTAAGTCATCGCCAACACAACATGGCACGACACCAGGAGTTTCGTGTGCACGTTGCATAATTTTCTGCCAACTCTTATCAATTTTACTGAATCTTTTGGCCTCTTTGGGCAATTGTTTAGCTATGTCACCGCCCACGAAGACAGCCTCGAGGTAGACCCACATATTCTGAACGAGGAGCCATCTCTCAAGTATTTCATTGGTGTTAGAGAGGTCAGTGACCCACTGTTGTATCTGCTTCCTGAAAGGTGCATTATAGCGATTGGACATAAGGGATCCAAGAACCATTAGACTGTCCTCCAGTTGCCCGATAGTTTCCGCAGTGGTGTCACCCCGTAGCAAGAGTTCACCTCTATTATTAAAGGTCATAAAGGTCAACTCGTGAGCGGACCATTCGTTCACGACCTGCCTCAACTTGGCCTCGATATCCCTCTCCTTCATTGCCGATATACAGATGTCCTCTATGTCCTCCTTGTATTTAAGAAGCGGCGCCTCCAATATATTTTTTAAGCAGAACCCTTCGCTCTCGAGGTCAAACGTATGACCTGTGACCTCGACTATTCTCTGCCAGTGACGCGGCTTCATTGCCTTGTTCGCCATTAATTCCAGAAGGGGGCACATGTCGTTAAAGTCGTCTATTGTCTTTTTAAGTGCGAAAAACGCCGGCCATTCCTTGAGGCCTTTGGGCAGTTTGCGACAGCGATTTTGAAATTCCATAAGCTCGTTGTTTATGTCTTCTATGTTAACCTTGCGGAATTATAAATATTTCTTTATGTTACAAAAACATTAACAAGGATATCCATACGTGATAGCAATTTTTCATAGAGCTTACCTCGCCCCACGGTATATCGTAGTAACTGCTGACTCTGTCGATAACATCGTTGTACAACTTGTACAGCTTCTGCAGAAGGTTCAGCTCTTTTCTAATCTGCGACAGCTCGGGGTAGTCTGTCGTTGGAAGACCAAAAAGTTCTTCGCCGCTCTGATAGGTCTGTAGCTTTCGCCACATGCCATCGAATCTGTTCTGAAACAGTATCTGCCTATCGGATGCTTCTCTAGGTGTCAGCCCAGGCTGCATTGGTCCAGAGCATCTGTACTCCTCGCAGTAAGCTTCGTTGTCGATTCGGAATTTTTCTAGGTTGTTCCTTAGCTCTTCCTCGAACTGAGGTTGTAAAGTCAATAGGAGGACGTGGCTGTCCAAGGCACGACCTTGAAGCTGTTGCCACGTGTATCTGAGGTTGTCGACTTGCTCCAAACACTCGCGATCGACTGGGACTTCGTATCTGGTGACGATGTTGAAGGCTTCTTCTATTGGGTCTATGCGGAGTTCCATGTCCACTTCTTGCTCGCGGATCTTCTTCAGGGTATCCATTATTAGACGCACGTCATCCAGGTCACGTATCTGTCGATCCAATTTACGCTCCATTTCGTTCATCACTGCGTAAACGTACTCCATTTCTCTACGATACTTCTTCTTCATGGCTTGGCCTATTTTTCGAGTAGATCCTGAGAATGTTATAATTTAGGTTATTTTAAATTGAGTCAATAGACTCTTAGTGTTTTTTATTATTTTTTTTATTCACCTTTGATCTCCGTATAAAGACCATATTTCAGTTTTTCAGTTGACACGACAATGGACGTTCCAAAATACATCATGTCCGGGTCGGTTGATAGTCTATCTTCTAATTCACCATGTTTTCGTAATATTGTTTCGAATTCGGGGAGTGAAATTTGCAAAAGTTCCCTGACACTGCGTTCATTTTTCCAAAGGAATTTGTACGGTTTCCATCGATCCAAAAAATTGGTCAAATCCTGATCGAAGAATTTCAAAATTAGTTTATATCATATTTTGTACGCTTCTAATATCCGGTTATATAGTGTACTTATGCAATATTGGCCCACCTGGCGCAGCTCCTGCGTACAGGTGCTCAGCATCGACAGCATCTTGATGACCTCCTTGTTCTCCATGACCAAACTGTGAAAGTTTCTCTGCTGAACAGGAAATGCCGGTTTGTCCTCCGAGATGATCCTGTAGAGTCTCTTTCTCCTGATCTTGGGGTCGTTCAAATCGACGTTCTGCCGTTCAGTGACGACCTGGGTTCGCATCGTGATGTCTATCAGATATTTTTCAAGTCCAGGGCGCTATGAGCGCAGAAGGAACGTCTTGGCTACATGAAAGAAGTGCCAAGACAAGCGGTGCATGCAGAGTGGGGTGCAGAGAAAACGCAGACATGGCAGTTATAGAGAGGCAAGAAGATTCAGAGGAAAATAAATAACCGCAGACGTTTAATTCTTGAGAGTCAATCAATCTTAGAAATTTTATTTATGAAAGAATTTCCATGGGCTGCGCAATATAATCATGCAATTTTATAAAATTATTATCCATTGGAAATTCACATTCAATCGTGGTCCAAATTACAAAGTTAATATTAAAAAAGGGGTTTCCAACGCGATACGTAGAAATGGGTATGTTCGAACAGGAAACAAGCGACATAGGGTAAGTTCAATAAAATATTAATAACATTAGAGTTCAGTGGAGAGTGGCAAGATTACCTTCTCTGGAACTTTGTTGCTTCCAGCATCCCACTGTGCTACGCCCTTGGCTACTGCAGCGATTTTTTTACCTGCCGTCGTCAGCGCCTCCTGGACATCCTCTAAGCTCGGCCTGACCGTCACTGCTGGTATCATCAAAATTGCGTGGAGCAGGAATACCGGATTTGGTGGTTCTTCTGTAAATGAATAATTTCTTTTGGAATAAAGTCAGTTTTGTTATTTACACTTTTCACTTTGCTCCTCTTACCGCTATCCACTTCACGAACGAATCTCTTTCTCAAAGCATCCAATGAACTTCTCGTAACCTTTATCAGCACGTCTACGACCTTTCGAGAATAGTACCTCCTCATCTCCGATACAGCGTTACGTACCATCTCTTGCATGCCTTTTGATAAGCCACCACCAGGAGTTGTCAGAAGTTGATGTGGGTTATCAAAACACGCCCAGACAACAGACCAGTCTTGCTGTTGTTGTTGGGTGGTTTCGTCAGCATTATCTTGACCATCCGAACCTAACTCAGGATTCATATTCACGATTCATAAAAATAATACTTCTCTTAGAGCGATATGCGTCACTACCTTCGTTATTAAGAAAATCGAATTGATCACTTTCGCTTGTCCCTTTGAAGGTCGCCGCCGCATTCTTCACCAGCTCAAGAACTTCTTCAACAGCCTCTTCGATCATTAAGCTCTTCCTATGTAAATCGACAGCTGCGAGTCTGCATGTTTCTTCAGTTTTTTCTATAAACTCTTCAACGTTCCAAGGTTGATATTTAGGCAAAGCGTGAAGACTGACTTTCTGCATGCTGGACAGAACTTGAAGAATTCTATCAGAATCGTACAAGTCATTACTTAATTCTCATTATTGTTGTATACATTTTTTTATTTTATCATTTCCACTCGTACCTATTCGCATATACATCGTGAACTCTTCCTATCAATATGTCAAAAGTTTTTATCTCATCTCGTGTATTTTGACAGAAATCTTTCCATCCCGGTTTTGTCCAGGTCAGACTAACAAGTGCCGGCCCCAACAGCGAAGCCACTCGTACGAGATGTGGCAAAAGAAGTGGGCGCACTTCAAGCTTCACTTTCCTCGCAGTGGCAACAAATTCTTCAATCACCAATTGCATCGAGTCTGTCACCAGAATGAAGTGGTCCCTCTTTGACAGGATAGTCAAAGCAACGATAGGTATTTCCAGTTGAAGTTTCGCAAGGCAATCAGCCTCCCTCAAAAGGAGTGTAATGCGAGATTCCAGGTTGACCTTGATCTTGCCTGTTCCTTCATCCACGGCCAATAAAGGTCTGAAGACAAAATTAATTTAAATATTAAACAGGCGACAAAATTAATCATATATATATTTTTCATATTCTAATGTATACCATATAAATACAACCTTCGAAGGCAGTCTTCAATGACCCAAGAATTTTGATGATTCCAAACATCGGATACGTCAGTTTGATATTGAAGCAATATGGCTACAGCGTTGTTATATCTTCGTACCAAATCAGCAGTCAGCGGTAAAGTTCTCAGAACAGGATGGCCAGATACAGATGCGGCCAACTCATCTAAATGTACCCTAAACACGAAAAATCGGAGAGAAAGAAGTTTATATCTGATTGCCAAGCCAAATTTCGCGTTCTGGATCGATCGGTGTCGTTAATTACTTCAAAGACTTGGCCCAGGTCAGTCTACCAGCTATGGGTGGCATGTGCCTCGGCAAGGACGGATCATCTTTTTGTCTCTTGAATAACTTCAATGTTCTTTCAATCTCTTTATCGCAATAGCGCACAACCATGTTGTATTTTTCGTCGAGTTTAGTGAGTGGAATTTTTTCGCTCACCTATATGGACCAATAAGTGCGGATTGAGAATAACGATTTTGTATGCTGACCGAATTGTGGATGTTCAGGAAAATGACCTTTTCGAATCTTGTTAAGAATCTGATGCCTTGGGGCGTCTCCCACACGTCAGCATAATTTTTTTCTATTATGCTACCTATGCTCTGCTTGAGAGTATCGGTCTTCGACATAAAAGTCTCATAATCTCTCTCGAATTCGGAATTTCTTGGATCCAAATAGTCGTATGATTTATTTGTAGCCATTCGTTTTGCTTCTTCAAATGTCTTCATAGCGTCGTCCAATGCTGTAAAGATCAGGTGATATTTATGAAAACAATGTTTTTTAATATTTATATCAAATTTATATTTACCTTCACCAAGAAGTAATCCTTCCATTCTCCTTTCGAATAGTTTCTGATAATTCTCAATGAGGTCGAACATTGTTAAAATTTGTCGAATGCGCGAACAAAACGAATCAAATCTACCGAAAACGTGAGTTTCCGAAAATGAAAATTCCTGTTCAGAAACGGCTGGAGAGCAACGTACAAGTCTGTATGTCTCTCTGTAAGCCCTTAAAAAAAAAAGAAAAAAGAAAACGTAAATATATTGTCCTTGCAATTACGACTGTATTATCTCACTAATTAATTGAAAAACTTGTATCTTACTTATTGAGTCGTAAACAATGCTTCAATTTTAATCTTACTGCAGTTCTATCTTGATTCCAAACGCTTTCACGTCCACGCTTTGTGACGTAATCCCTGCAAGCAGCGATCATTTGATTGGTGATCTTAACCATTAGCGAACTTGTTCTTTCGGAAGTATTGTAATATCGCGACACACTGTATATCAGACGAACAGTTTGCAAAAGCGATACCAATGAATCTCTCATTTTGACCTGAAAATTATAATTTTTAGAATTTCGTACATATCTATGTATTATTAAGTAATTTTCTTCTACTTTTTTTTTTTTTTTTGAAAAATCAATTTACTGGATCATCGAGATACAAGCAGTGACAACATTTCTCCATCGCTTGAATAAATTTCGCATTATCTTTGGCCTCATTGTAGCAATATGTGACCTCGTCCTCAGCATCCGCCCATTCTTTTATTAATTTTGACCGGGACACTTGAAGACATAATAAGGACATCCTTACTTCGTGATCCTGCCATAACGATATTATTATTGGACTTCATCTTCGTAATCTTTATTTCATATAACAGCTAAATATTGAATTGACTTATCTGCATAATTATTCAAACTAGAACCTGTAATTTAGCTGCAAGTTGACTGAACTGCGCACCCCTTCGCTTCCAATATTCTAATTCCTGCTGTGGTCCAGAATTGTCATTCTCACGTCTAACCTGCTTGCTCTCCAGCATAAAGTCCTTCAGCTTTTTGATCCACGATTTGACTCTCTCTTCGATTCTCAGCACGACGCCATCCTTAGCTATGAGCGTCTTGGTTTCTTCAAAGTTGTGGATGTCAGCCATCATTGATTCACCATCGTCAAAAATACTCCCTTCGTCGGCCACTTCCTCGCAGACTGTACACAAGTGATTAAGCATTTTAGAAAAAATTATCAGCGTAGACATCCCATGCATGTCCTTTGGATGTCCATCAAACATATTTTGCTATCGGAAAGAAATCATTGTAAAGCATTCTGAAATATAGTTATGAAATGACCTTTTAAGGCACTGCAGAAAGATCTGAGTCCAGGTAATAATAGACTCTTAATCATTGGGCAATCAGCTTCCTCTTCGGGGCTGGGATGGGCCAGGGCATCCATGAAGACACGATCTACTATTCGCTGGATCGAGGCTATCATGCTGACCTTATTCGTATCAATGACCCCGGTGTAGAGGTCTCTATGAAATCCTTCTTCCGGCAATTGCTTCGCGATGTTAATACTGTAGCATTGACGTGAATCATTACTGCCTTTGTAGAATTGTTTCTTGAAAGATCGTGCATAAATATTTGGTACCGTAATACAGATATTGTTTGAAAATTATTCTCATAAAATGAACATACTGTATGTGGCGTGTGTTACATACACGTACATTGCATATTTCTTAAAAGGGTGCGTATGAAAAATTTTGGAAAAATCCACGTATTTTACTTACCGAAACATATATATACAGATTCCTGTGCACGGAACCTGCCAGCCGTCAGTTAAAAATAATTTCTTCTTCGTCGGTTCTCTGGGTTCTTTGGGTTCTCTGGGTTCTTTTGTCTTTGTAATCGACGAATTAGGCCCTACGCGTGAACCCTTGACCTGTCCCTTTATCAACAAGTATTCTATTACAAAGGCCATTTTTGGTATAAAAGATTCACCAATAATCAACAACACCGGTAAGTACCAGATCGATAGATCGTACAGCTTCCGATTCTTCTATTTCCTGGTAAAACCATATAAGAGTAGATCTCACGTGTGGCAGAAATAACTGATTTATCTCATCAAGCATATCTCCATCAAATGCATGGTCCATGACCTTGTGTCTTGGAAGTGAAGTAGCATCCATCAGGATCTGGAAGACAAACTCCAGCCTAGGGTCCATCTCCCCGCGTCTCGCCTTTCTCTCGCATTCCTCCCGTCTCTTCTGCAACACCAGCATCCACATTCAAAAAATCCTGACCATCCACAACATCCAGTGTAACATCCTCAAAAATAATATTTTCTCAGTAATTAAGAACTATCCGTTATATTTGTTGATAACGAGGCTTTTAATGAGAAAGAGACCTGTAGAACATCACCGGAACCTTCTTCGTCGCTTGATCCATCCGAATTATCGGAACTGTCCTGGACCATCCGCGGACCCTGAACAAACATGACGGCATCTCCTCGACGTGCCCGTCAAAGCGAAACTGTTCAGGACGTGGAGGTGTTCCTAGGCTCGCACTCTCGGCGAGAGGCATTTGCATGGTGGGAGTGCTTGACGCGTGTGGAACAGGGGTGGCTCAGGGGCGTAAGAAATTTCTATAAAGGGTTCCATAGGGTGATATAGGCATAGCATAGAGTGCTACAGTTTATACTAAACTGTTAGACTATACTAAAGTGTTTTAGGGGAAGATTTGGTTTCCGTGCCGTGTCTGGTACCGCTTTTTATCTGTTGATACGCAAACCCTCATCACGCATCCTGGCTTATCTATAAAGAGGATCTGTAGAGGATGTATTGCTGGATATAAAATTTATTTTAAGGAATATAAAGGATATTGCAAACAAAAATATTTTTTTATCTAGAACAAGTGTATAGGTTGTGGGTGATTTAATTTCTTATTGATGATTACACTTGTAGCTATATTACATGATATTATACTATAAATCACGACGCTGCTCATGATTTAATTTAAGCTTTGCGCAATTGTCGGGAATAAATGCGCTTATGATAATTCCAATAGAAATATCCAGTATGTGATTATGCGATATCTTTGCATTACACGTGTTCCATTATAATACGTGATTTATTGCTGCTTTCACTGGCATTAGGTATACTATTCACTATCAGAATTAGATCGGCTCGTGGATATATCAGTCGGTGAATACGACTGACAGCGACGCGTGTCGCATGCAACTTCGTGATATCTAGAAATATCGTATACTTTCTGATATTGTTTAAACAAACTTATATATTTATCGTGCCGTTAATCCGGACATTGTCATTTTAATGATGACGGAGAATGTTTCTTAGTAAAATTCTTCATACGATAATTGTGTTACGTATTATAGAAGGTGGGACGAAAATCGTGGTACGATCGAAAGGTAAATGATTCCTCGTGGTAAAGTAAATTAAAAATACAGAGTGAAATATTTATTTACGGATCTTCATTTTTATGGAAATCGACTTTAAAAATAAGTTGGGTACACGCGTGGACTTCACTAAAACTCGACTTACGGAATTCGTTACAGATCACTGTTTTACTTTTGTATGTGTATAGAATATCATGATATAAGATAGTTTTAAATAATTGATTTTGTTAATTTAAGACTTGTTGAAAATGTCATATCTATTGTTGATTACAAAGTTGTGCCCGAATCAGAAAGTCACGAGAAATATCTAGGGTGACCTGAATCTACAATTTTTCAAATGCCTGGTTGACGTGGAATTGTATAGAAATATGAAAGAAAATAATGTCTCTAACAAGATTCCGTAAGTCGATTGTTAGTCAATTGCACGCATACCCGATTGATTTTTATAGCCGATTTTCTTAGAAATTAAGCCTCGTAGAGAACAAGCTTACTTTGAAAATTCGATTTACTTTTCTATCAGAAATCAGTTCCTTTTCGGTTGTACCATGTATTCCACCCCACCCTGTATATACACACACATATATATACACGTTTGCCAAAGAGATACTTTGGGAACACGAAAAATTAGGGGGCGTTCACAATAGCAAGCTAATGTTTTTTTTAAACCTTGGGACATCACAGCATTGGAGTTCTGACCTAATTTAACCTAACGAAACATTTCTAAGCCCATCACAAATACCGGATGACTAACATTGAAAAAAAATATAAACAAATTTGGTGAGACAGTCCGTTTTATGGTCCTCAAAACAGTCATTACGCTAAAAATTCTTTGAGGGCGGTCCCCAAAACAGCCACTTGTTCTCAACATAGCAACTCGTAAATGAAATCGTCCCCGAAGTATTCCCCAGCAAAAAATATAAGAGATGTGCATTACAACTACTAATATAAAACGTTCGACTATACATTAAAGTATCTTTAACCAGTTTAGAAATATTTTATTAAGAGGGCAGTCGCGTATAGCGCTTTAAAAATTGCATGCTTGTGGGATAAAAATAAAATAATTAGTGGCATTTCGCTCAAACTTGCCATGTATTTTTTTCGTGTTGAAAAAAATGTTGTTTTCGTCTATAAAATCGTATTCGTTTGTTTTTAATAAAAATATTATGCCATGAATAGCTGAAGTTGCTGGTTCACCCGAAAGCGATACTTACATAGATAAATAATGATTTTTATTTTTTTTTGTTTCAGCCCACCTGGAACAGCTGAATCACGTGCATCAGTCAACGACTGCTCCTCTAATGCGTCTCATAAAATTGCAAGTATCTAAGTGGAGAATCTGTTGGCTAAAAAATGTCTCCAAATTTTACTGATTATTCTACAACACTAGACGGTTTGCTGGGGCGGTTCCTCCCCTCAAAAGCAGGTCAATGTACGTTCTTGAATAGAATTTTTAATCTGCTGAGACAGTCTTGCAATATTTTCAATGCTTTTAACATTAAATTTACATACGCAGACGTCTTCCTTATTGCTTTATGAAAAAATTTATTTATATAAATGTCATTTTCGTGATCATACAATAGAAAAGAATATTTTAAAGTGTCTAGAGGCATCCCATAGGATAGTGAATAGTGCCTGTCTAAGCTTAGAAGGTGATTCACGGAAGTTTAACAGTCTAGGATTAACAATGAAGAAAAACACACGAAAAGTGTGAATGAAATGCATAGTAATTTTTTAAACCCAAGAAAAATTGTTTAGTTTGTTTTAGTGGTTATTTTTAATGCGTTACTAGGCGACTACCGCCTTAAGTGTATAGTAGCTTACTCTAGCTTCGTCCTCTGCCTCCGCCATCGCCAATGGGTTTGTCCTGGTTTGTTCAGAATTATTTTGAAAAACGACAAAAAAAAGATTACAAAACAAATGACTGTTTTACTTCTTTTCTACGGCGACTTTAAACAACAGACCTACGTTCGCGTATACCGCCCGCACTGTAATGCAATATTAACTACGTCAGTCCTTCCAGTCTCTCTTGCACTTCCTCTCTTTCTCAGTTCCTTTCTCTCTCTCTCTCTCTCTCTCTCTCTCTCTCTCTCTCTCTCTCTCTCTCTCTCAGCTTTACACAATTTAGCCGAATGCTAATAGTTCGAAACAAGTTCCAGCCAGCCAATCTGGCAAGAAGTTCCGTCACGAACTCCATCGATGCTTAGTTATAGAATTTATTGATTTTCATTCAGCGACAACCATTTTATCCAGTGATTTATAATCCGTCAGCATTCTCAAAAATTTAATAAAAAAAATATGCTGTACCACAAGATACATTCAAGCACAGCAAAAGTAAATTCCATAACCATCTAAGCAATATTTTATCAATCATAAATCTATCCAAAGTCCACCCAAAAAAATTTCACTGAAATTGTACTTAAAAAAGAATGCAACTAGTTTCGTACTGTCAATAGACGTTTTAAGTTTTAAAAATGAAAACATAAATTCAAAGCCTATACAAATCCCTACAGAGCCTCTGGGAGATCTGTATAGAATTCAAACATGTGGCTTCCTCTTTAAACTCACATAAAAACATCTATTGACAGTATGGATCAGTCGTATCTCTCTAAAGTACAGCTTCAGAGACATTCTTATGGATAGAGCTTGACTGGATCTACGTTTGATATAATCTTTTTTATACAGGCAGTAATTTTGATTCGCAAGACACCGCCACCTAGCTTCGGGGTAGTTAATCGGTGCGATGAAAATTCGTAAAGATTCTTTGTGCGCTATTCAATAGTCTTGAAGAATAATGGCGGCGGTGGCCTTGGTAATTGGCTAGTGGGAGTAGTATGGATGGTAGTAGAACTTGGTACGGATATCGACTGACTTGGAGGTTAGCTAGTGGTACCACCCTGTGATGGGTCGAAAGTTCTCGAGTAAGGGTGGGTTTATGTGATATGTATGCGAGTAATAAACGATATAGACACAAGCATGCTTTTAGTAGACTTCCAAGAGGTAAAAGTTGTTTGGGATGGCCTACATAGATATACATATATATATGTACTCAGAATGTTCTTTGTGCTTGTACATAGTTTACCCTCTCCCCTTCGAATCTTCCCAGGAAGCCATCGGATTTCTAGAAAAATAAATGATGAAAAATGGGGAAGGGTGTGGGCAGGTTTGTACAAAGAAAATTTAATTCCATTTCGATATAGAGTGAAATTGCTGTATCTACGATATCACTGTATTTATTATTGGAATAATATTCTACTCTAAAGCCTAGGACGATAATTTATAATGTTGTACCGTCGTTATCGAAAACTCATTTCGTTACCATTACAACATCGTACTGTATCATCTAGTCTCACCCCGTTCTCCGTTTCACAGGATGTCGCGATTGCTTCGACCTTTGCGTTTATATGATTTTTTATAGTCATACTTGTATCTCTTTTGTCTCTCTTGATTTACAAAATTTTTTGTGTTTCCAGGAAGAGGTTGATTTCTGTGAAGAAAAAAAAGAAAAAAACCTAGAGAAATGTCAGATCTAAAGGAAATTCGAAAAATGATTTTCCACAGCGGGTGATAATTTTATAAATTTTCCGAAGCAGTTGCGAAACTCAGTGACACCGGAGAACGTAACAAAGCTTATACCAAGTGTGGTATCTCGATTCGAACATGTAGGCCATCGATATTCATAAATAATATTATATATTGAATTAAGGGTTTCATATGAATCGTATAGTATATATATTTTATTGAATTGAAATTCATTGCGAAAAATCCATATTCTATCACGAATTTTTTTTCTTCCTTACTTTGTTCTTGTCGTTGCTGTTACAGCTCACGTATCCTGAATGTGCAAATATTATTACAGCTATGAAATTTAACGTTGAGATATACGAGTTGAAGGAATACTAAAAAAAGAAAATAAATAAAGTGTACATTTTCCATTACGAAACTTGATTGTAAAATCGTGGACGAGATTGAAAATGTATTATTCGACGAGTCAAAGGGGAATTAATATGGAAACGAGCTATTCGTACAGTTACCACACCGAGTATACTTTTTTGTCGTTATTTCTTTTTTTACTTTTCCTTTTTACCTTGGGTCAATCAATCCCATCGATCCGATCGACCGATTGGAATTCTACAACGTGAACACGTACAATGTAATTTATCAATCAACGTTTAACAACCATTAAAATATGTAATAACAGCACGTCCATGGTGAGGTACGTTACAAAACTAGTACAAAACTAGCAACTAGGTACAAAAGTGTAATTAATAGTTAATAATGAAGGCCGCCCAGGAAACTGCCAGGGGACCATAACTTCTTTTCCTTTCGTATGCATGTACCGAGACTAGCGATGTCGCACCCCAAACATTCCACCCTATATATTGGCACACTCTCCCATACAGACATACATGACACTTTTTTTCTCTCTCTCTCTCTCTCTCGCTCTCTTTCCGTTCTCTCACCGTCTCCGACAAAATTGATTGGAATTATCGCGTCCTACCCTTATTAGAATGATATTAGTCTATTAGCATTATCAGCTGTAATGTTATTTTATAATACTGATTAATTTTGGGGAAGATTGAACTAGAAGGTGTCTCGAAAGTTTTCGATCATTGACAATCTTGATTTGCCAAGTAACGAAAAATTTTGTATCACCCTTTATATAGTGGGTTGAATTTATGTCTAACGGGGATTCGTATTGAGAGGCTTCATGATTCGAAGCTTGAATTTCACATTGAGTTAGTTCCATTAGCGAATAACATCAATGGTAACTGATTCTTGTATTACTCAGCTGGTTATTAAATCCTGAAGACTTGCGTGTTCGACGACGAATTCTCTGTGCGATTCGTTATTTCAATCTTTAATGACATTTGTTCTATCAATACTTGTATATAGAGGTCAGGATATTGATGGTTTAGATTGATACGAAATTTGTGATTGTATCTTAAATTTTGCATTTTTGTGTTAGGTATATTGTTGGGATAGGTTGGCACATATTGTCATTGCCAATTTTTAATTGTATTGTGTCAAGTTTGACAATACTCGGCTACGAGGATTTGTATAATCTTATATCAGTAATCTATCTCGAACAGCTTCGAGACGCATCTCGTGTGGACTTCGTGCGACCGTAGTTTCATGTACATCTATTATGCAAATTCTTGCAGCCACGTATTCTTCTACTTCAAGGACGCGTAATTCACATTTGAAGGACGTCGTAAGATGTACGTGAAGAGACGAGGAGCTTCGTGAAATTCTTCCCGGGATCAATGAAAGTCAGGTGACAGTTTCAGACAGGCAAAGAAAAAAAAACTGGGATAGAACGCCAAGAAAAATTTTCCAAAACAATGCGGCTAATTATTGAGTTTCAAAAGTTGTCAATAATTTAAAAAAAAATATACAGTGGAAGAGGTATCGATAAAAGGAAAGGGAAAGTGAGTGGTAACAATGTGATAAAGAGTGCAAGTGCAAGAAGGGCAATCAGAAATGGAAATGAACTTAATAATGAGGAAAGAGCAAAACAAGTGATAACGATAGCAGCAAATATAGCAGCACAAGATTTTGTTATTTATTATATAATCGAGAAACTACGCTCTCTCTCTCTCCCTCTATGACTTTCTTTGACGTGGAGAGAATCAAAAAATTGGTTACGCAAGGGTGCGACTACTGTCCAAAAATTCCCAATAATGAAATTTGGGATACAATAGTGAAGTAATCGAATCGAATCGAATCGAAAGTGTTAGCTAAGTCTTGCGACTGCAGCTGATTGCACTACGCGTTTATTGCATTAAATAATGAATGTACGACATGTAGAGAATTTAAGATTAAATCTCACGACCAACGGGACTCGTGGCATTATTAGACTTTTGATTTCAATATTTATAAAATTTTTTAATTTTTTCAATAAATTCCCTCTAAAAATTTCTGATGACCATACGATAAATTTTATGGTAATTTAGATAATTATATATCTAATAACATGAAGAGATCATAATGCCATTTCAAGATAATTCTTTATTTTTGTATCCATACTGTATACGCAAACTTCAGACGCTCTAGAGTCAAGAGTTTTATCTATTCGAAAAAACAAATTTTGGAATTTTCATCTAACGAAAAGTAAGAAAAACAAAGTACCAGAGTCCCGTAAACCGAAAGTTCAGTGGAATCGGTTAGACAGCGAGCTAGTACGAAATACGTTTCCGTTTAACATTATTGCATCTTCTACCGGAAACGACTGGATACTGCTCATGCCTTAACCGTATGTATTGGAGGTGTTTTTGGGGAGAACCCTTCGTGCATTGAAGAGAGGGGGAAGCGCGTTAGAAAAGCATAAAATTCGCGCAATCGGAACCCGATTCATTTTTTAAAGCGTTCTACGATCTTAATTACGCACAATTCATCATAGCACGTCACATTCATAGAGGCATCTCTGTAATTGACTAGTTCATCATCATATATATTTTGTTTCTTTACTCTTATTTTCACAATAGTAATTACCTCTTTAGCTCGCTACAACATTTATTGAGCGTGATCTTAACATAGATAGGCAACGGTTAGTAATTTACTATATTTAATATTTTTTTCTCACCATTTTTTTTCTCTCCATTGTTACGAAATTTTTACACTATGCAACAGACTCTACAATTGAGCGAAGCGAGAATATATAGACAATGTGAACATACAGCCAAATCGGAACGTTTCTACAGTCATAGAATAAAACTGGTGACGAATAGATACCAGTCGTTCTGACAGACACAGCCTCTGTGTCTCGGTCAAATGCATGTACATTTCCAGCAACGTTTTCATCATCATGAAAAATCTTAGTTTCCTCGTTTTAGGTATTCATTTTTTTTATTGAGTAGCAAAAAAGCGTATTTCTAATCACAGCTCCTCTGCTACTGCACAATTTTATTATATATTTATAAATTTATTTAACCATAAGTAAACGCACTATCCTCAATCCCTACTGTTGCTCTTCTTCACTTTCCTTACTAATTTCCTACCGCTACGCTTCTTTTACTCGTTAAGTACAAGACTTTACAACGTAAGCACGTACAAATGCACGTATTGCTGTAAAGCGTCTAATCAAGTCGCCCAATATGCATTTGACCCAAGAATCGTCAGACGACGTTCGCAAAGCTGCGAAAATATTGCCTCGGCTCGGTGTGTGTCACTAAACGTTCTGACCGAGGCTAGAAGAGTTTCCTTTTCATTGAATGATTCAACGCGATCGGAAGAGTTCAACTGGAGTTCACGTAGGAGGTTCGGACCGATATAGGTAAAGCGATGCTCTAGGAATGCGGCGTGAGTAGAATGGTCGCACGCGCGTTTATATTTTATTTTCCTCTATCGTATATTTATTAATTATCTTCCTTTCCCCTCCCCATGTCTCATCATTTATCTCAACAACCTGCGTCCTCGCTGCTCAGAAGATAACGTTAATCATCGTCGTCCAAGCCAAGTAGTTCCGGCGGAAGTCGTCTGTGCCGACAGCACAGGGTCACACAAAGAACTCGGACCGCGAGGCGGAATTGGGGACTTAACGTTCCCAGGATGACAGCCTTCCAGAAGCTGTTCGTCACGCCGAACCAGACCACAGCGAATTGCAAGAATGGTACCTGGTGGTGAAAAAAAAAAAAGATAAAATAGAAAGAGATAATTTCGTGATATGCTGAAAGTTTAAGATAATTCGGAATTGTTCAAGATGCCTAAGAGTACCTGGGGCGGTCCATTAACCACGGCGTAAATCTTGAGTCCTGCGTACGGTGCCCAGGATACCCAGAAGACCATCACCAGAACGAAGGATACGATGTGGCTTGGGTTACTCAGGTTCTCCGAGAGGGCGGTTGCGTATTCCTTATCATGAATCGGCACGCCGGATCTCAACCTCCTCATCATTGAGAATATGTAGAAGTAAGTATAGACGATGGTGATGATCGAGGGACCAAGAACGAGAATCGAGAGGGTTACTGTATAGGCGGCCATGTTGCCCCAGTCCAGCATGCAAATGAACGCCTCATTGTCGAATTTCGCCTTGTCGAGGCCAAGCAAGGGCGGACAGCACATCATTGCCACGCTGATCCACGTGAAGGCCATCCAGCACTGACAGCGAGTCTTCGTTTGCACGGTCTCGTATCGCAACGGTTTTCTTATAACATTCAGGGACAGAAAACATCCTTTAATTTGAATGTACAACGTGGATATTTTATTAAGTAAACTAAGGGTACGTAGACTATTTACCTGATAGCAAGATACCGATCGACAGAGATCCACATAAAAGTGTAGACCGAGACGGCCCATAGGGTGACCTCAAGGTAGCCGACAAGACGACATAAGGGTTTGGGGTATGCCCAATCTCGTATCAGGGCCGAGTGTACTGAAAGCGGGACCACTAGCACACCGCAAAGAAGGTCTGCCGAAGCCAATGATAATAAGTAGTAGTTTATCACCTCGGAGGGACCTATAAATAAAAAGTTATCGCGTTTAATGGCTTTCAGGTACTTTAAACAAAGAAACCTAGCATATAGTTTTATCGTCATCGGATTAGTTTGTTACCGCGGTAGTTGAGGTAGGTGGCGATGATGAGAAGATTCGACATGATGATGGCGACGCCGACCACAGAGATGAGGCCCGCCTGCATGAGAGCCTCCAGCGAGTACTCCATGCCGCAGACCATTCGCGCTGCATCACCCCACTCGCCCTTAGGTGACTTGACCCTTCACCTCTTCCTCTATTTAGCCACCTCACGACGGCTTCCTCTCCGTTTTTACTGTGCTTCCAGCTGCAAGCTTAACCACTCGCCCTCTCACCCGCACGCCTACTGCAAGCTCGATCTTTCCCACGATCTTCGTGCTAGCTACTTATGCGACGGCCAGTCTTGACCTTCGAGACTCGCTGGCGATCGATCCCCGGCTAGAGCTGCAAGTATAATAAAATAAGAAATTTAAAAAATTGTTAGCAAAAAAGTTATCGATCTAAGCATATATCCGTGACCCTTATACGTGTTTTTGTCGCGTAAAGAAAAATTTTTTTTTTTTACATAGACTCAGAAATTTAAGTGCCCAGAATATGTGGCTCAAAGAATTTTTGAAAATTCATTAAATTATATTATGGAGCTGTGAATGACGTGATGCGAGATTGAATAATAAGTCAAAGCGGGTGGGTTTCGGCTAAGAATTTGCCTTTGATGGTTTTGCCATAGAATCTCAGTAAGTATGATTAGGGTAAAAGTTTAGATATGTAAAATTCGCTAATAGACCGTGTGTTTTCAGTTTATTTCGTCTCTGTTCTCGATATTTTACTGAAATACAACAGATTTGTCACTATTTAATGTGGTTACATATAATGTACCGAAAACATACTGAAGATATCAGTGAAATCGATCCGCCAGGGACAGCCCCATTGTATCCATAAATTAGTACAAATTGCTGAACAGCAAGAAGTCTTTGAGAAAGAATAAGGTCCCCTTTATAATGCAGGCTTGGTTGATTAACAGTAAGTGACAAGAATTTTGTATTAAACGTATGAAAGATTGTACAAAGTACATTAAACACTTTTTTCTAGAATCAAATTTTCCAAGTTTCCAAAAGTGCTCCAACACATCTTAATTGAGCAATCGCCATGACATTTGATAAGACATGCACAAGAAACGACTTTATCAGTTAAACAAAAATTATTAGCAAATATTAACGAATTTTTTTATAAACAAAAAGCTGACAAAATTATTGATCAAGCACCAAGCTTGGCATTGATAGCTTATTAATTAAATTCAATTGAGTTTCCCTCTTAAATTTTAGTTCAGTTACTACACAATTTCATATAAAATAAGAATATCATTGATTTTCAAATTTTAGATCATCTACCTAGGGTCAAGGACTTTCATAAACAAGCAAATTCATCGCTGACGCACCGACCTTCATTGTCTCCCACCTACATTTTTTTAATATTAATATTTGTTTTATGGAATAGAGATTACTTAATGAACACATCAAACTTCAAAATTCCATATTTAATAGCTGTTTCGTAATAAATTCGAAGAAATCATCGATTTTACGAAATTCACAGCAATCGACGAACAAAGTGGAAACACCTCGTAAGTTTGCGATCTGCAGCTTTGTAGTTACAATTTTTTTGATATTTCAAATTTTCTTTTCTACTCATTTTTTTTTTGTAGATCCGTACTTGCGGGTCACGTAATAACCTTGAAAAATCATTAGGTAGAACTTATCCGATTTGCGAAACCTTCTCTTGTCAGTGACTTAAATCAGATGTTCGTGCAGTTAAGGAGTCACGTTTCTACTCTTTTTTTTTTTTTAACGTAAACTTCCACCACCCTCGTGAGAGTTCCTCATGTAAGCCGCACGCGTCTCGCGGTATCGACCGCCATTCATAATTTAGCTGAGTCGATCCTGAATGGGGTATATTATGTACTGTCGCATTCACATAGGCTTGTGTACTAGTTCCTCGCAGTGATACACTTCGTGGCCTGAATTAAAGTAGATCTTCGATTACGTCACGATAGTTACATTCTCCATCCTTGTGTTCCTTCGTTCTCTATTGTCGCTTATTTGCTTTTCTTCTGCTTTTTTTACTTCATTTTTTAGAAGAAGCCTCATAGCCATAATCTGATCAGCATTGTGCAATAAGACATTAGATAATGTACCCAGGCGATTATGGTAATGTGGAGTAATACAATAAAATTCCTTCAAAGGAGAAAAAAGAACAGCATTTTCATTTTAACCTAAAACAATAAAAAAAAACATGAAACTGATATTGCTCTTTAGTGAGAAGGAAATAAGTACAACGAGCAGAATATGTTTAGAATTGTCAGCTACGATGCTTGCTCCGAACGATTTATGCTATTATTAATAATGAGCTTAACGACAGGCCAAATTAATTTACTAGAACTAAACGTAAACGTTATACTACATGGTGAATGTGGATTAATTCAAGCTATGTAACAAAAATATAAGTTGGCTTTCCTAGTTATTTCTTTCTTTCTTAAGAAATATATTTCTTATAATATTTTGTCATCTTCTTTAATTTTTAATTGTTTAAGAATTAATTCTTAATTTTCCCTCTCTATTAACACTAACCGTACCAACAATTTATAGCGGTTAAACAGCCGGTCGTGGTAGATAAGGGTATCGTATGTATCTTTATCAGGATAAACGAAAGAACAAATCAAGTTGGATATTGAAAAATTAATTATTTGCATTTTATAGAATAAGTCGTGAAATCAGAGAGAAACAGCTAGGACATTGCATGAAGAATTTTTAAAGAAAAATTTCAAACCGACCGTTTGATCGGTCGTGGTACGGTTAGTGTTAACTACATATCTTTTTATATATTCAAATGCATAGCTACTTCTTATTTTTAAGTTCCTCTACGCATATATTTCGCTTAATGACACACAATATAAAGTAACAATGAAAAAGATATAATGTAACAGATGATAAATTCTATTAAGCTTTACCTTTTTTAGTAATGCCCATTGCTTTAAATACTATTCTTTTATTGTTACCTTATAGTCATGTATTTTCTCTCGTGTCTAATTCTAAAGATATGAATCGTAAATCTAACAATCGACTTCACCAGAATTCTACTTGTTAACAAATTAACTAAGTGCATGGTCTATAACTCCTGTAATATAGAAAATTTGCAATTGAATAAAATAATCAAAAGGCAGAATAAAAATGAATAATCACGTGACCAAAATAAATATAAAATTATTACAGAAATTTAATGTGTACGTTGGTAAATCATAGGGGCAATTGCAGTTTCAGGTATGCAATACCAAATTGTAAATAATATTGAGATAATAAGAGCACTGTAGGCATACATTATTTTGGTTAGTTCCGTAACAGTGAATGTGATAGAAATAGATTAGTATTTGAATTGAAGCATGGCCCTTCCATCATCCGGTTCAAATATTAGTCTATTTTTCTCTTTGTAATGTTTCAACTAATGTTGGAATTATGACCAGAGTACAATTGATCTGCAAGTATGATTCGAATTCGAGAAAACTTTTAAAATAAAAATGGACTTTACAATTTATTGTGACTCCTCGAAAAATCGTGATATATTTTTTTTTCGAAAAATGCTCGCAGCGCTGTTAGTACGTTTTGATGAAATGTAAAATAATACTAGCAGCCGTTCATTTATACGTTCGCAATGCATGAGTTATTAATTGACAGAATACGCAAAACTGATTGTTCTATTTTATAATATTATCAATAACTTTATATATGCTGAACTTATATTGGGGCTGTCCGGAAACTTGTTCCGAACACACTCTGAACTCGTTAAAAAAAAAGCTATAACAGTCGTAGTAATAACAATTAAGGCACTTTCACAGCTTCGTCGTACTAGGCCCGTTTTCTTCAACGCGGTTCGATGCATTAACTCCGTTTATCTTTAAAACACAAGTGCCTGATTGACTAATAGCATAGGTAAACCGAGTTTATGCATTGAACCGCGTCGAAAAAAACGGGCGCTAGTCGCACTAGTGGGATAACTTATAAAGCCAGACTCCTAGTTGATTAAAATTTTAATTTTGATGGAGTTCGATTTTCCGAGTATTCGACTAGTACGATTAGTCTGGCAAAGCTGCGAAGGTATATTTAGTGCGAGAGAATTCAGAGAGGGCTGAGTGCAAGTTCACGAATATCCCATAGATTACACTGTAGATTGTCCATAAAAATAAAGGACCTTTTTCATATATTCTTACAAGTCCATACGGTAGCCTAATGGTAACACTACGAAAATGAAGAGTATACAAATAAGCTAATAGCGAGTTCGACTAAAGCCTGTTTTTTTCAACGCAGTTCAATGCATAAACCCCATTAACTTGAAAACGCAAGTATCCGATTTGCTACTAGCACAGTTAAACCGAGTTTATGCATTGAACCGCGTCGAAGAAAACGAGCAAAACTCTCAACTCTTTACTTTACAGTATACCCTAATGACGTCATTTTCACAATACTGAAAGCTTATGTCGGAACACAGGATCTGTTTAACGAACAGTTCGTCGAGTGTTTACTATAAAATTCCGAGTTTCATTTTTTTTTCCAATAATCTTTTCAAATCTGCTTTCGGTGTCAATCGTCTTATTAATTACCGTTTACACATACATACGTATGTACTGTTTTTGTTCTATGAATTAAATTTAAGAATTTAAACGGTTATATTTCCATAAATTAGCCATTTTTCATATTAATCTACCCCCCTCCTCACCATTCATAGCTCTTATTGATTCTTGATAACGCTACTTGACAAGCTATCAGTTAATCAAAACTGATCGAACTTGCTTCAAGATCCCCGGAATCGTAACCCCGTTCAACAATATAAAACGTTAGTTCCCCGATTGTCCGACCTCGGCGCCATACTGCAGCACGTGTCCTGCTCGGTCTGCCTAAATTCTAATAAGATACCCTAAACGTTAATCGAGATTCAACTGCATATATAACTTCCCTCTCCCATTTGCTTTAAGGCAGTAATATAATCGGATGTTAAAAAAGTAAGTAATAGCATGAGGAATTCAATGATACGACAGCGAATAAAACCTTCCAAGGGCTCGACAACAACGTGTGTTGGAACATTACATGAAAAAGCGGTTTAAACAAGCTAAACGAAGCCTCGCCGTAACGCCAACGTATTACGGAGTTACGTTATTATTTGTCTAACCGCTTTAAGGATTCATTTTCGACGACAGGTGACACGCGACACGCGACTTTTCTCATGACTGTTTGATACACTGGGGATATTATCGATCGACGTGTTTATTTTTGCCTTCATTCCCTTCAACCCTATACCCTTTACCACTTCCTTTCATCCCTCCGCGCTGCTACAGTTATAATGGCTGACATGAGCTATCCCGTACGGTAGGCCCATGATAAGCATTCCAGTCGATAATGCAGATCCCTTTCTTATTATTCCTAATAAATGTCATATCTTTAGTTAGCGCATTCAGATCGCAAACAAGGAAGGGTCCTTCTCTTAAATATAATGCTTTTGTGGATTTAATTGCTAGATTCGTTTTGGGGCATTAGTCACGCTTCTGTCACATAGGATTTAAATAAGCTGAACCAGTGATATGCTAGGGTTAAAAGAAAGAAACGAATCCGACTGATTGATCCTCTTTAAATTCTGTACGGTGGAAACGTGGTCAATGACTTTTTCCACAGGAGTCGCAGGAGTGTTGAACTACATTAGGTCTATTCGCGTTACCTATACTTTCTGGAATTTTCGAAAAATGCAAATTCTTATTGGATGATAATTTTAAGTAATCAATGAGAATCTGCATATTTTGAAAAGTGTAGGTAAGGAGAACAGACATATTGAATGTGTACAGTGGAGGCCGGTTATTACAGCTACGCTTATGCCGATCGACCGCGTGTTTCATCCTACTTGCCCCCTTAAGTTTGGTAAGAATATAAATACATAACTTCATATTTTCATTTTGCTTAATACGTCGTCTGTTCGGTACGACGTTATTTACCTGCCCCTTGAATTTTGTTATTAATGAACTCCACTGTATATTTATAGTTTTCTGTTATATAGATATACAACGCGCGTATTTTACTCATGAACTGCGGTGGAAATATAGTCATTGAATGTTAAATTATGTGACTAAACATTTTGTCGGTGAAATTTATGCAAAGAAGATAATGTAAAAATGAAGATTAAATCTGCTAATACTAATGGAAATATTATTCTTGCATTTTTTATAGAATTTGTGAAATACTTTTTATAAAGCTTTTAAAATCAGATGATCAATTTTCCTCTATACCCACGTTATATATAGAACAAAGAACAAATACGGTGTATGTACTCTGCAAAAGACTCAGATCACCCCGATGGTAACGCGAGATAATGGAACTGAATATAATTTACGCGTTTGGCAACCTAACTGGACAAATGCACGGAAGTGTTGTACGAAAGGTTTATTTTTCGTGAATTAATTTGAACGATCTTCATCCGAACGAATAATCCACCGGCCCAAGCCCAGATCTAGGAAGCGGTGGGAATTTTTATAGGGACATGAAATTTTGTCAAGACTATCAAATCAGAATTTTGTTTTTTTTTTCAGTAAATTTTTTTCTCCATTTACTCAAGATAACGTGCACGAAATAAAAAAGTAGAGCTGACCGAAATCAAATGATTTCTATTTCAACATTTGTGAAAATCATGGAAACTTTGATTTTATACTGTTTGTAAAACCAGTATTTGCAAACAATTTGCGTTTCAAGAATTATCGAATTTAAATTAAATTTATACGAAATTGTCGTGTTACAAACAGATCATCGGTTGACTCGACCAGAAGCTTCAGTCACGATCACGGTAGAAATAAAAAATTAATTACACAAGCTAATAATTTCCCACGCTCCAACCAATTATCTTTAAGTTTTCTTCACGTGAAATTGAACCAAATAAATAATTTCAACACTAAATGCGGTTACCATAATATGAATTTTGTTCCGAACCAAAATCAGGTTTAACTCAACAACATGGTCCACGCGATCGAATCAAGCATGAATTTCATACTATACAACATAAAACATCGTATAAGCAAAGAATTTCGCATTCATCAACATATAAATTACAAATTCGAACATACGAACGGATCTCCCTCATGTGAGAAAAGCAGGATACAAATATCTTAGAAGCATAGAAAAAAGAATTGTTCGTCTAAGATATTCTAGAGGATCTACGGCCGCCAAGTAATAGACACCGACCTCAAGGACCCTCATGGCGTTTACATTACTTTCCAAAAATGGAGGATCAGACCTAACAAAGCTTTCCTCGACTTAAAATTCGAACACGAAGAAACAACGAAGAAAAACTGACTCTGCCGGTCGAGGAATTCTCGTGCCGAAACAAATAAGTCAGTGTTTCGAAAAACACAAGATAGGGTTATACCCCGCAAATCCGGACCGAACACAATACTTGCTACGGAAGTACGTCGCTCAAAAAATAATTTGCTGGTTTACCAAATCGCGTCAATTTTATGAGCCATACAGATAGCCCATGCCAGAAAAGCACATAACTAATAGGCCCGTACTTCAACCACCACCAGGAAGCTCTCCGCGTAATCTCCACCAAATAATAGTTTCCTAAATGAGTAAGAAATCCCTTGACCATGGATTTATAACTCTACTCCAATTCCAATTTAACTTTGATAATTTTTCGCAAAAAATTGAAGATGTCCAAACGTCCAGGAAAAAATGAGAAGCGATCCTCACCCTTAAAATTTCTTAGACAGCAATCACATCACATAATGATAATGACCCTCTATCACATAAATTATTGGTAGGCGATTGGTCCTGTGGACCGATCTTTCTACTCAATCAGGCTCCACGTGTGAATTTCTGACCTAGTTCTCTAATTCTTCATTTTCTAAATAGTAGACAAGCTCGCTATGTCCTTTCGCCATTTTTCTCAAGGGATATTCCACTTTCTCTTTCGTAAATCCTTCTCGATCCCCTTCGTAGGTTCTGGTCCAGCGGTGACCTGTCGCTGGCTGCTCGTGTCGTATCGATGAGCCTTGCGCAATTCCTGTGTAGTGGTGTGGCCATTATCACGTTGCGCCCTCCGTCGTTCGCCACAGGAAGCTCTCTCGTGACGTCGCCATTGGCTGCAGCTCTCCCAGCTGACTGACGGCTCTCGTCTGCCTCGACGACTCAGCGAACGAGCGCGTGTAACATTTTTGGCAGCGTTAAATGAAACAAAATAAATTAAGATAGATCTCAATCGGTGTGTAGTGGCCCTTGTGATAGGTGGTTCCTCCCTGGATGCGCTTAAGCATAGCCCAGCCTCGACCGAAAATCCCTGTTTCCACCGAGGACAAGACGGGTGAAAATTTATTACGTGACAGCACATAGATATAGGATCGAGATGCGAAACGAGATGGTCGTGAAATACGAATCTCAGAGCAGAGCATTCATTTCAGTAGGTTTCTTCCAGTGATTTATGTGTACGTCTGTACTATATGTGTTCATAAAGGTGTGTTATTAAATCCATTAAATCATGACCACGTCCCTCACGAACTCAACCTTAAAATTATGGCAGCCATAACAAAGCCGACGCCATTACAGCGTCAGCATCCTGTCTCCCTACCGTTTTATAACCATTGTCCTAGGGCAGAATTTCCTACATTTTTTATGTCCCTTTCACGCATATAAGTGACGTCTTCATCAGTTTACGTAATGGCTATTTGGCATGATCGACTTTGAATGTAAATAACGTATCTTCCTGGTCATAAATGCATAGACAAGTACAATGCCGAGTAATAACTTTTATAAACCAGTGAGAGAGTACTTGAATTTTACTTTCGAGAGATGAATTCTGGAAATTGTTCTCAAATATCGTCAACGTCGATTTGCGAGAACACAGAAGCTTTTTGCCGAGATAACCAAACATTTGGCCAATGATCTGCATGGCTTGATAGTGGCCAGATCTTGCTCTACGTATACGACAATGCAGGAATTACGTTAGGGCAGAGATGTAATATAAAACAAGAAGGTTTTACTATATTACAGAGAGTAAGTGAGTGGCTCGCCAACTGCGGCTATTATTTCTAAATATATCTCCATCCAATTAGTTTACCTTTTCATAATTGCGAAATCATGTAGACTAGGTCATACTATTTAATTTACTTATAGGTTATAACTAAATAAATTGTTTTATTTTTAAATATCCCAGATAGCACATAGCTACTCCATTAATATTCTACAAAAATATTCTTCAAGAATTTCAGGGTGGATAGAATTTTATTTGTTAATTAATTTTGAAATACTCACACGGGGTTCATATATTGGGTTAGCCAAAAGCTCTGTTACACTTGTTTCGAGATGTTTCTACCAATTTTTCAAATGTTCTAGACTTTTCAGTAGAGGGTACTTTTCATAAGCGGTACGTACCACTCGCCTGAGCGTTGGCGAACTATTGTAGATTTTAATTGTGAATATGGTAGGTATAGAATAAGAGTTGGAAAATAAATAGAATACAAAATTTCAAAAATTTTTATTACAGTGTAATAAAAATTTTTGGACCAACCAAACATATTGTAGGAATATGCGACGAATGCTCTACTGGAATATTTTGTGGAATTCTTTGAATACTATTCATAAAACGCTCTGTAGATAGTTTTATGAACATACTAGTTGTTTATATTATTATAAGAATTTTTATACACATTTATAGTTACGTATAAAAATTTATATATTCTATACAGTATTCATAAAATTTGCATACATTACTTATAGAAAACTGTTATGTAGAACGCTCTATGCATATAGTACTCAGAATATACATTGCACAAAATGTAAATTTCCCATGGATGAGTACTTTTACAATTCTTCAGTGGGACTGGTAAAATGAAGTGTAAATTTATTGTTATTATTATTATTTTATTAAAGCAGGATATTTCAGAAAAATTAAGCGATTTGACAATGTTATTATTATCTACCCACTGTTAGTGGATAGATTCTAGATAAATTAAATTTTTGTCTTTTAAAGTCAATCCACCTGTACTGTTTTCCTAATTGACCAGAAAGCGATCTCAATAAGACTCGTTTCATCACATTTTTAAAGTTTAACCCGCCGATTCTTGATAATTTCTTTCCGATAAATAAAAAACGTTGACATCTTACATAATTATATAACCAAAGTTATAGTACGATATTGCAGGTATTTACACATTGTTTAGAATTTTTTTCAGAAGACAGAAATTCTCCAATTACATGTAATTCCTTATTTGTCAATGAAAAGGAAAAATTTCAAAAATTATCTTTTCGTTTTACTTACGGATTTTGCTTGGCGTATAATAGCTAATACAGTAGCTAAGTCATTAGGCACTTGCTGAGATTTTAAATTTAACCAGTTCTGCTATCATTAATTCAACTTGGTATCTGCTTCTGAAAGTTTCCATCTGAAAAGATAAAAGAGGAAATTGTAGTTATAAAAATAGGTAGATAGTTATCAATGAAAGGAGATTGATAATAGTAGATAAGTGAAATTGTCTCGGTCTGTAATTAAAATGTAGAACGTTGCTTGAAATACCAAAGTTACATGTACCTCCTCTTGTATTAAACAAGTTTGAATGATAACTGACTTTGGTTTGTTTAGATGCTTCGAAAGGACTAGAGTGTTTCATCGACATCTATTATTGGCATTTGCGAAATGCTTCCAAATATAGACAAGAAGTACGCTTACTGTATCATCATTGTCGAAATAGCCTATTGCACTGTAAATGTACTTTACCAAAGGAATGTTTTCTACAATATTAAATCGTCTGTCAGACATCTGTCAAACTTGTGATTATATTCGTGAACTAAATAATTTCTTGCTTTTAGACTATAAATATCTTATTTTCGGAATTATTGGAATTAGCACATGGAGGTATACCTTCAATGCATAATTTTTTATATAAAAGAAAAATGCATCAGAATAACAATGTATAGCTTTAAAAAATTATGAACCCATCTCTATACATATGAACATCAACCGGTGTATAGTGGCCGTGATAAACGTCAATAACGCTTACGTGTTTGGTATATTCTGCTGAAGCAGAAAGAATGACGTAAATTTGAATTCCGGTGCTTTTGCTTAATCCTAATCCCAATAACAGTAATTAGTAACTCAATTTTATGAATGTCATTATCATTAAAAAAAATCCAAAAGTTGTTTTACTCCTCTTTTAAACCCTTTATATACATAAGTACCTGGTTTAACTCTCCTACAGCGTGTACTTTTAGTTGTATCAAATACTGTTCTATGGTCACCTAGTAGATTCGAATGAGTCAGTAAAGTTTTCCATAAACTTAAAAGATTTTGAAGGGCCTAATGATTTATCTTGATTTCCACCACCCATGAACGCCAACCGTGTCGAAAATTATTATATTCGTTTTCATCTGCTTTATTGATCCCAACGTTATTATTAGTATGCGAGAAATTCTCAATGTTTGTATCATGAAATTTATATTATATTTATACATATTATACTCTAACCTTATTTTCGCTTGAACTATTAGAAATCTGTTGTGATCGATCAGGATAAAATTCTTGTGGGTACTGAACTTCATTTAAAAATTTATAGGATGTACTTCTAACATCAATTGTTATTATGATACGTTATAATTAATTGGCATACTTTTGCAAATTTTAATTGAAAATTTTTAACATTGCTAATTCTGCAAACGTATTAGTTAATTTAGCAACTTTTTTTTCTGTATCAGGAACTTTTAGATGCTTTGTATTTTGGCACTGTGTTGTTCCTTCTGAAAGGGAATACTACAAAAATAATTTTATTAGAGATACAACACGCATCACCTACAGGCAGTAATAATTATTCTGGTACTAAAGATACTTACTTTTTTCTTCTGATCTTTTGGATCAGATTATTACTCAAATGTTCACTTGTATCGAACCACATAAAGGCACAGTACATTAGTTGGGAATAATTAGAAACAGACTACGTGCCACTCTGGTACACGTGACGACATTTGTTTCCCGCTCTGCGTACGGCGCTACCTGATCCACATTGTCTATGTTCCATCAGAATCAAATATTGAATGGTATGTTAAATATATGAAAAATATTAAATATATATTAATAGTTATTAATTTATAAATTAGTAAAGTATAAACGTACATACCATGTATTTTATCAGATCACAAGACACTATCATAAAAGTTCTTTCACAATTAAAAAAAAATCTAAGAAAGATGTGCCCTCGAGATTGCACTCGGATCTCACAGGATTACTCGAAAATTTTACGCACAGATATAGTTAATGTTAACAATCAATATATGTATAGGCAATGATGCTGGTACTGAGGTAACACATTCGTATCACAAAGTTTTAAGAATCATTGAACAGCTACGCAAAAGGAATATTCAAAGAGTATTTGTAGAAATATCTGAAAAACTTTTTTTTCTACACTAGGCGTCAATGTGCCATAAATTTTCGTAGATCGTTTTATAAGTATATTTTGTCAGAAAAATATTAGGTCATGTAACGAATATTCTTAGAACACTGTGTGCTATCCGGGATGCATTATTAAAACTAGGAAATAAACATAGTAAAAAAATTCATGATGTAGCAGCAAGAGCTAGAGATTCGGGAAATCGAAAGTACCGGAATATCTCGTAGAAATAATTTAACACTTTCTACGGTGCATTTGGAGTCATGATTGATAAGAATAACGAAACAATTCATAATAATCCTGAAAACTGATAAGATTCCAAGAGTCACCAGTCGGGATGGCCCAGGTGATATTACAAAGACTTTCTCGGTCCACGCAGCATCCAACCTCCATGTTATAAAACACTGCCATCTTTAATGGACATATTTACCGGAGCGCTCGGGTCTATCACGTACCTTTTCGATCTCATCTTGCACCAGGAGCTCACACTGTCGCGCCACTGTTTCACAATAATGATGACGGCACCCAGTGCGTCGCCTCGTTGTCCTTAAATATTTCACTCGCGCGAGAATTGCGGATCTGCTTTGCCCTGACAGAGGTCGCTCGGCAAGGGTAGTAGATGTTGCGCCCGGCTGACCAGCCTGGGTGTCTACTACTGCCGACCGTGCATCCCGACGTCCCGGGCGTTGAGGCGTCGATGCGACGATGACGCTTGCGCGCCACCCCCGAAGCCACCCGCTCCACCCGGGCAGCGTATTGGCTATGACCGTCTTACAAAGAATGCTGGATGTAACGAAGCTTTTTAGAATTTTCCCATGGAGTCTTGCGGCGCCTGGGCACGTGCTTCGCTGCACAGCTGGATAAAGGTTGTATCGATATTGGAAAAAATCCTTGGGAAATTTCTAGGGAAATTATAAGAACGACGCTGGGCGTCGATGCAAGTTCACTGTCGATGATTCAAGGAAACATCTTCGTTACATAAAAATACTTAAATGCAAAACTGTTCCTTATTATAAACTGAACGGTCAGTCTGGCAAGTGAAAAATTCCTCAGAATAATTTCTAGAAAAGTCACTCTTGTTTTTCAAATATCTAATTTCAATTGTTGGTCCGGTGACCTCAACAAGAACAAAGTAACAGTTACGTATCAGCATTATTAAAATGTCCTATTCAACTATGTAATGAAACACCTCAAGCACGCAACTGTTATATCCCTGAATAAGGCATTTTAACATTGTACCTGTGAATGTTACTATGTCTTTGCTTGGACTATACAATACATACAATATAAAGTCTTTGATTCCTCTAGTACCTTTGCGACTTCATGACTTTGTCTTAAACGCTGAAGATACAACAGTAGTCTCAGGACAAGTAGATCCTACGGTGAGAAAGTTACAAAAGTCATCCTAGAGTACAAACACAACGCGAAAAAAAAAGGAAGAGAAACGTCTGTTACTTGAGACATTGAGACTTACTGTACTCCTACGAATACACTACGCATGTATACTGTACGAATAGTCAGTTAACAAAGTCGAGTATGTAATTTTGCGACATTAATGCTGTTTCTATAAATTCCGTGAAAGTAAACACCGTGACGCTAGAGGTGTGTGCAATTTCTTTTCCTCTCCTTTTTTTCTTTCTCGTCACGCCACAATAAACCTTGCAGAGCACGATCACGTCAGGACAGTGGGTACCTAGTGAATTACGACACAAGCTTTTACGATTCTACCGTGAATGACTGATGCACTCTCATTATCAATACCACGACTAGGCGAGGCTTATAAAAACCCTGATAACGTCGAATTCGATTCCTTTAAAATCTATTGTCATCTTACTCCGCCCTTATCACCATACTAATCACTGCTAACAAAATCTATTTTAAGGGTATCGAATATAAGACAAAAAAAGTTCTCTGAATTTCAAGTTGATTTCCCACACACCACTGTAGGATGTTGCCGTTAATTTATTACATATGGTAATACGTGTACGTGTGTAAATACAAACTTTGCATACAAGCAAGGGAAATTTTACAAAGTACGTAAGAACCTCGTTACCTCGTTATCGTCATCGGTGAGAACTTCGTGGGCACGAAGAATAGACTTTTATATTATAAATATATAATGCATATATACATATAATAGTTATATAAAATATACGTATACATATATAGTTACGTAAAGGCGCTCGAAGCCCATCAAGTCACTGCGGCAAACTACGCCGAGTTCGACGGCTCGATAGATAGTATGTATTATTTAGAGTCGGCAGGGGTGCTCGCGATTATAGACCACCGACCAGGAGAACTTCATAGAACATGACGTTAGAGCTTAGCGAAGCCTCATCGGAACCTCGCTCTATTCAAATCGAATAGACCATCCTCGACAGGGTCGCCGGATTGATTAAATTCGTTATCAGGCTGTGATATAGTTAAGCAAACTTCTTGTAATTTTGTCCCTTGGCTGGATACGCATGAGAGCATGCGATACACTGTAGATACGCGTGAGTACTATTGATCCATTGTAAATATAAAATTTGCCATTTTCTTTCATTTCGATAAGTCATTTTCATCCTTTACTCATCTGCCAATCCAATAGCTTTTATTCCTTCTTGCGACTGTCTCCAAAGGGTATATTATTATACTGCAATTGGAGCATCGCTGATAGGAAACTTAGGAAAGCAACATTGTCTCCTGTGATTTCAGTTAAGGAATACTGCCGCGTGTGTGATTTTAAGGAAATAGGGTGGGTAGATGACGTTGAGAATGTTTGATAGAGATTTGAGAAAAAAATTGAAAAATTAAATTTTTTCTTATTTCAGGAGAAATGTTGTCCTGCAGCGGATGGGACGCGAATGAGAAATGTAGACGCGAGTGTAAAAACCTTTGGAACAAGAAACGAATATGAATGGTATGACTACTGGGAATTAATATCCTGGTCCAGAGTCTACTGAGGTTGGGAATATCGCTAAAGCTACGGCGTCCTAGACCCTTTGAACGCACGCGACGTTTATTGATCTGGCTAGCGAGAAGAGGGCGCCGGGACGCCGAAAACTGCGCCCGGCTTCGCTTGATCTACGACACGCTCCATCCCCGTGAAGGTCTTTATCAATTGACTTCGTGTCCTTCTCAGAACGAATGTGTCCTGGATGCTGGATCAATGCGAGTTGGACGATTTTAAGAAAGTCCAAATCTTCTATTAGAAATGATAAGTCGTAGGTAGTTTGATTTTGTTTGTTTGTTTTTCTCTCTTTCTCCATCTTTTCCTTTCACGCTCACAAAAGGGGGGACGCCTACGTGCTTTGTGACAAACAATAGGTTAGGTATGACTGAGACGGCGGTGACATCACGCGGACATAACTAGTATAAATAAGCGATTTCTTGTGGGATTATTTTTTACAGGATTCTCCGAGCGCTAATTCACTTAGTGCCTCTTCGTGACGACCGTCTTGTTCGGATACTTTCCATAAATTCTACCACTTCTGGTGACCCTGTAGTTGACCTGTTGGCTGACCTGCATCGAAGAACTTGAAACGTGAAGTCCGTCGCCGGTATAGAGACGCTTGACACGTGTCTTTATCCCTGTGCTGTGCTTTGGATGAAGCTCCATCATCGGACTCGATCTTTCTCTGGCCAATTTTGAATTCGGAATCGATATGGGAGCAACAGCTTTTCGAAAAATTCGAAATGGCGATATTGCCAGGATAGCTTTGGCTAGTCGTCGCCTGCAGCGCCACAGTAGCACAGCCGTCGCGAACCATGCGAACCATGGTCCAGCTCTAGGTCCTGGGACAGGTTCCCTTGACCAGAGAAACAACATCTACGGAATAATTAAATAAGTATTATATGAACTAGTCAAAATGAAAATCTGAGTGTTTCATAAAATTTTTAATATACCAAGTATTAATTGATTAGCCGAGTTTCGAAATTTTGTCAAAACAAAATAAATAATTTAATTGAGTACAATTTGAATTTTTTAATAATTTTCTCAACTGATTCTGGATTAGCTGTAAAATATGAATGTTCTCTATAGGTTTAACAGTTGCGCAATGGGTATCCTCCAGGCTTTGGCCGGGTTTCATAATTTGACCTATTTGGCAATAGCAGGAAGTCCTCCAAATGAAAACTTTCCAGTAATGGAGTTTTACTCCGACTGACCTTATAGATCCACTCGTTGGCGCGCTGCCTGAAACCAAGGGGTCGGTCGACGAGTCGAAACATAGAATGGCCGTGAAAATGACTCAGAGAACGGGACCTGAAGAAGAGGAACCGTATTTCATCAGGATTCGCTCTGGGGCCACTGGAAGCATAACGTGGCACTCCTACTGGACGATTATCTTGAGTAACTCTTGAAATCTCTAGATACCAGTTTCCTGTTCGTTTTCGCTATTCAAATTCGCCAGCTTGCAAAACTCTTGGATACGCTTTCGTATTGGTACAGCTTGCACGATAGGGATTCTGTCTCTGTACGTGATCCTAACCAAGAACCTCTCTGTCACCACTGACAACTTTCAATGGAGAATCCTCCGTGAGCAATATCCGGTTTTTGCATATCCTCTACGGCGTCAGTTACTGGCGATGATCTTACGTCCTTGATGGTACGTGTACAGGGTTAGCATCCCTTCTTGATAAATATTATAAAAATTATAAAGTACAAAAAATGTAAATAACATATGAAGCGGAAAAATTTAGACAAAGAATTGCCGCTCTAGTTGACTGCTGTTGACTGAAGTTATTTGGGATTCGTTGCGATGCGCATCCGAAGCTTTGTGACAGCTCGTGGCAATCGATTCGATTTATCGGAGAAAAGGTTGAACACCGATTGTCGATATAGACACTAGTTTCGGAATTGATAACGGCGTAGATTGTTACCTTTTGATTTTATTTCTTGAAGAAAGTAACATAAGTAAAAGACTAATTAGGCCCGAGGCTTGTAGAGAGGCATAGAGGCGTTTGACCTAACCTCGAGCTCTTTGGAATTCCCGTGACGTCACGGGATCGTGTCAGTGGGTCAGAACCTGGATAGTCGACCCTGTCGTGCAAACCTTGCAGAAATCACAGTGGATGCTTACGAATTACGTATACCTGTGTCGCAAATGGTTTTACATAATTATGAGAAATTTGTAGCAACGCATCTCATTAAGTTGCGAATTTTAAATAGTGTCAACTAATCATTTTGCAGGACTATCAAAGATTGTTGATTAATTTTACGGCTCAAATGGTTGTAATTACGAAACGTGTATTTAGTCCTAGTAATCATATTCGGGATACGAATAGCATTGAAACGAATTGGTTCTAAATATATTAACGTTATACTCAGATAATGCTGAGAATAAACGTTGGGATGCTAAATTCATTGAGTAGTCGGTTATATGATAAAAGAAAATAGAGATGATTTGTTCTGAAGTAAAAAAAATATATTTACAAAAAAAAGATATAATCATTTTTGCAATTGTAGAATTTATTCTGCAATAGAGGGAGTTGAAATTATTTCTTGCACTGATTGTACTGTTATCTGACCGTGTGCATATCGCAATGCTATTTGCTTGATGGTTTTTCGCAAATAATTTATTTCCACTCGAGGCAATTGCAGACCTCGTATACCATTCCATGAGAGTAAAACATCAATGAATTTCGCAAATAACAGGATTTTTATAGAGATTCTTTATCCACATTCTACAAGATTAGCAATCACTTTGACAATTTAGGAATAACTTGACCAAAACTGAAAGAGTAATCCGATTTGAAAAAGTTGTATCAATTTGAAAAATGTGTGAAAAACTCGTTCAGGTTTGGATTAAAATAGCAAAATTAGCGTAAAAGTGATTGTGAACTTGCAAAATATTCGCTGAATTTCACTATGAGAAAGAATCTTTGTGATAATCCTATTATTTATTATTTTCATTGACATTTGACCCGTACAGTAAATCCTGAGTCCCCTTAAAGATGAAACAGGAAAAGCGAAACGAGAATTTTATTGATTAGAAATACAGTGCGCTTCATATTCAGCTTACAGATGCCTCTAATTTAAAAAGAACCTTATGCTAAGCGTATAAAATATCTCTTGCAGGATTTCTGCACACAATTTTCCTGTTTTAATTAAAGAATCTCCAGCATGCGTTTTTTTATTTGCTCCACTCTTTCAGATTTACTCTGCTCTGAAATGAAATTCTTTTCCTCTTGCCAGAGAGAATGTCAAAACACATCGCTTACGGAACAGATACTAATAGGATATGTCGTTCTCAGACAACTTCACAGATATTGAATTCTCCAGTAGTTCAGTGCAAAAATCTTTCTTACTACTGTATATACTATAGGTGAAAAAACTAGAACGAACTTCGAAATTCCCTGATGCAGGGGAAACCGTTGTCAGTTGAAACACGGTATCGAATGAACATTTAATCTGCCAGCTATTGGGCAATGAATAAATTGCAATGACCTGATCAACTGTAATGTTGTTTTAAAAAAAAATCTTACCAAAATTTTACAAGAAAATTTTGCATCATCGGTAACATTAATTAAGAAAAATACGTTTGACTTTCATCCCGCACCAGTCTCAACTAATAATTTATTCGATTTTGAGATTACGGACATTACGCGCGTAACGGCTCTCGCTTTCAAATGCCTGTTTCTTGAACACCCGACAGTACAGCGTTGTGTAGATGGAAAAAGGCAAAAAGTACAATATAAAAAACAGAGCACGCAATCGTCCCATCCCTACAATGTAGATGATAAAATAATCATATTAGTAATTGAAAGCAATTTATTAAAAAAATGAATAATGAAATGCATATTAAATAATGCCATGGAACATGACACCTAGTTCTATTTTTTTTAATCACACGTTATATGCACTTGGTCGCTTCTGAATCACAAACCCATAATTTTTTAATCTCGCTCTGTATAAATAAAGTTAATACGAGTAAATGAGTATATAACACATTCGTGGATAAAAACCAATTGACACAAACGTTCATTATTCGGTGCATTATGTTTATGTATATTCGTATCAGCAATTCCTTTCAAAAAAATTCCCACATTCATCTTGTTTATCCCAAATGCAATGAATACAAGTGAAACTTGAAGTAACAAAAATAATTTCATATCGTGCTCAACTGAACTTGAACTTTACTCGATTGCTTATAAATGTAACAATTTCAGAGCTATATAGTTATATCGGAATACATATTGCATATTGTTCCATATACAGGCACGAAAAAAAAGAGTGGTCGGAACAATTGTCAAAATGTTGATAACACAAATCCCAAAGTTTTCATTCCTGAAAAAGGCAATTTGATCGAAATCCTTCCATTCAAATAATTAAATCGAACGTCGCCATGTTTTACCATAGGAGTTCCTTACATGTACAGTTTGCAGTATACTGGTTGTATGCGCATGCGCATAGTCGCACACAAAAACCATAGGTGTACACGGATACGCAGGCGCACAATTTTCTGACAGCAGGGGTATACCAAAAAACAAGTGCGGCAACGGCACTCTAGATGAAACAAACTGTATATACAGAACTGACCAAACAACCGACGCTTGGAAGTATGTACTGGCTAACTTATTGTTGCAATTTTTTTTCATATTTCACCTTTGAACTCTTAAGTTTCTAGCAAAGTGACGTGACAACGCTACTTATTCACATGAGACTGTGGATACCATCTGAATGGCACCAATTGACCTGCCGTCGACTCACCTTCGACCTTCGATCATCTAGTAGGTTTCCAGGTCTGACGCGTTTACATACGAAGGTGAATTTCTTGTGTTTATTAAAAAAAAAGTTCAAAAAACACGGATATACAATCCATTAAAAATTGCCTCTCCAGTCGCAATTCATGTTTCGCACTTGATTCCCAAGGTACCCCAGTCCATATTGGATTTATCGTGCTGCTGGATACTATTGATGACAGCCGCTATTGCCGCAGATAGTGTTTGCCAATCGTTAACCATCGATTGAACGTTGAATCGTGAGGCTACGATAAATCGACATGGAAATCGAGGTAAAATCGACGATTTCCTACGGTCTAATGAGAGACGCCATCGATCCGCTTGCGGATTACTGAGCGTAGGCGAGCGATTCTTGTTCATGTTTTCCTTATATTTTATTTCTCTCTTTTTATTTTTCTCCTTGCTCTTCCTTCTTCTCGTTCCTCGATCTATTCTCAAGTTAAGAGACGCGATTCCTCCTCGTGTCTCACGGAGAAGAAATGTAATCAAGATGATTGTGTGCTCGCGTGCACTGCTAGCTGATAGTTCTGCTTTACGTTTAACAAAGGTTCGTACACATTTTCTGACATGCATGGACTCTATGATAAGCTCGCGTACTGTGCCCATTAGGTATGACGTTTTGATTTAACAAATTTCAATTATTTTCTTATCAAATACAACATACATAAAGCAGATGGCACGGAAGGTTCCCTACTCTCCGAAATGTTGAGCGCCAGTAGTTCCAGGAGAACACACTGCCTTTGCTTTGCATATCACAGACTAACTCCCTTTTGATTTTGTCCACCGATCATGGTCAAAAATTTCCAATTCTTCCCGACTCAAGTGCCGACCAATCCGGTAATCGGTGGAAGGTCCACTCGATGCTTTGATTAGTCAAAATATTATCAGCCACGACATTCATATATTTTTTATATAAAAAATGTAAAAAATATTAATCCGGTTTTAATAATAAACATACTTATTGAGATGACAAATCTGAGAGAAGAAGGAATAAAAAGAAAAGCAAAAGATGGGAAAAGTCATAAAAACAGATATTAATGTGAATAACAATTGTATAGGTTTGTATACTTTTGGGATATCAACTCTAACAGTTATTCTTTTATTGTTACATTTCACACAGCTATTACTAAGAGTATATGCTATGTCTGATGTAGAGTAGAAACTGGACAGTGTCATTTCATAATATTTTTTTTGTTTCAGTGATTTATTTTACCTTGACCGGATATCCGCTCTAGGCTTTAGGTTTATATCTATATCTGCCAATTGTATCTGTTGTAGTTATGTTAATTGTATACGAATTGCACTAGAATATTGTCAGTAACGTCACTACGATATTAGTTATAAAATTTGCAATCTGACCATGTGTGAGATGAGTATATGCAGATTTTACTGTTATGAAAAATTATCTGATGATCGGCCACCCGACGGGATTAAATTATTGCTTGAATATAGTCATCGAAGCAGATTTTAAAAAATGTTAAAGATGAGTGGAGTATTTTGTCTGTCGTCATAAATTATATTTATACTGAGAACCATCAAGATTGTTATCTTGCTCTTGTCTAGGAACAATAATTTTATGTTTCGTCTTTTGGTATTAGTTTTTTGTTACCTCTTCTTTTTCTTTTTATCTACTTCTCAACTTGTTTACACACCATTGAGATCTTCGTATTTCCATTCTGTTTGCTTGTCAGTATGGGAGTGAGGCTATCGCAGATATCTTGTGGCGAAGATAACATCTGAACAAGTTCTAAGATTTGCGGTAGGAAAGGAACAACATCTTCTCTGCCTATGCTAAAAATACAGGTTGATTCAGTGACAGTGTAAAAATGAATGAATTTTCAAATGAAACTGCGACTCGAATGAAATAAATAAATAATGAAAGATGTCATAATTTATCATTAAGATTGAACGTACAGTAATAATACTTACTATAAAAAATAATACTATATAATAATTACTAAATTACTATATAAAATAATACTATATAAAATACTTACTATAAACAGTTCAAAAAACCTCTAAAATGAAGTAGTCTCCATATAAATCTGCTTTACAAAAAAATACAAAAAAAATTTACAAAGGACTTTGTAAGGCAGTATTAAAAAGAATATCGAAAAATGCATCAATACGTATCAAAAGAAGCAATCGGTATTACCATCCGTATCGACTGAACCCAAAAATCGGACAGCCCTAGTAGAATTTCCATTATGAGTACCCGTCGAGGTCCTACTGGTCCAATGGGTACCCAGATGAACCCTGGACTTGGCTAAGAAAAATTCTGCCAGGTAGTGTCGTTCTCAATAAATTTTCCCTATACCTATACTCGGCACAGTATTAAGGTAAAAAATTCTCGCTTATAAATTGCAACATCCAACATCATAAAAATGCGTTCTTCATTTTTTTCCAGATTCCAATATTATTAGGCAATTGTGAATCATATCTCATACGCGTCTTAATGTGGCACCTTTATCATCGCGAATACACATATAGGACAGTTATTGCCGACAGACGGAGCATTGTCCTGTCCGCTTGTGGCGAAGCGATATACACGAATAACCACATGTGTACGGTAAGGTGGTAGGTGGTAGGTTCGAAGTAAAGCGTGCAGCAGCGAGTGGGGCTCTCAGAGAAAAAGAGAATCAAGAGAGGAACGGTGGGAGAGAACGAACAACTCAAGCACGTGGAGCTCCGTGTCTCGTTCAGTAGTTCTCCTTACAGCCTTCGGACAATTTCGTAGCGAGTAACTGACTGAGGATTTGAACTTGAAAATAAATTCGGCCACTGACCTTGATATTTGGTCGAGACAATTTGAAACTGTGAAACCATGTGACTGTAATTGGGATTTTAGATTGCGCGAATACAAAGATATTTTATATACGCATAAATAGGTGTAAAACGTGCATAAAATATTTAAAGAAAAAAAAAAAAAAACAATGATTGGCCGCACCGGAAGTTTTTTACTCCTCGTGATTGTTGCTGTCATTTCCGGTGTGACTGGTAACGTTCTAAATGATCCTTATCAGCGGCTTCCGGCTCGTGAAAATTCTTGGCCGAGTTTTCAGATTTCCAAAACACTTTTGGCGGCAAGACATTCTAGGGATAGTTTACCCAGTGCGAGGCTGGATCGAATGATTAAGGCTCATCCACAGGATCGGACGAGACTTCACGTTGAAAAGGATGTTAATCATTCATATAGAAACGCGCAAAGTTCAAGTTTTGAAAAGGGATTTGAGCAGCCTTCTAGGACTGACAGATTAACTGCCGTGGCTCGATCTGAAGGTGCTGGGACCAGGGCTGTTGCTTATGCTGGTTATCATAGCAATCATCATCAACATCATCATCAGGGGAGGGAATCGTATCTACAGGGCTTTCAAAACGCATCTCCTGTACAGGTGTATACGAAACAACACCCTGGGTGAGTTAAATTATTGTAATCGATAACCTGAACATTTCGTGATATTTAAATTCCTCTATATTCTGAGAATGACAGTTCTGATTAATGACTTGTCGTTAGACTTATTATTTCTCCTGTACAATTCTGAGTGCGCTTTATGTGCTAATAAATCATAGTATACATTTTTAAGGATAAACTTGAAAGGCGACTATATACGTGTAACTCGATTAACGTTACATAAAACAGTATTCCGCACAGATAAGATTTATGACAATTTTCGACTTATACGATCATCCGAAAATTAACGAAAATATTTAAAAACAATATTAAAAGTACACTTGCGATATTTCACCGATCGAGCAGTAGATACTATGAAATCAAAACTCTCTCACTCGATTTCTCTAACACTACAATTTCCATATTTGACTAAAAGTCTCGTTAATAAATAAAGATAAATCAAAATAAAACATCAAACGTTAAACCGCCGCGTTTCTATACTAGGTTTGTAATAATTAAAAAATAAAATCCATCGGATTATATCCACTCGTACTCCATCTCTATCGGCAAATCAGCTTCATAACCAAATCTCACATGAAATTTCTACAGCAAACGTAAAACTAAAATTATTCTCAAAAAAGAACCTCCGCTCAATAAACGTCATTACCATTGGATCAGGATTGAGTGAACAGTCGCATCTTCTTACAGCACTGCATTATTTTCCATGTAAAACATATTTGTCACAATTACAAATTTTCGTTTAGCCACGGTCTTTAGCCCACTGCACAAAGAGCCCGCGTAGCCACTAGAATAAAGGAAGCCGTGTTCACGCAGCCACAAAATCAGCAAAGCCCATTGCACAGAAGCGTCGCGGCGAAAAATGTAAAAAGTTTAAAAGAAATGAAGGCTCGCAAATCACACAGCTTCCACGAAGGACACACGAGACTCTCGAATCACTATTTCGTCTGACTGCAATTCGGTGGGTACGTACGGTGCTGTTCCATCGAATCGGCACTCAGGTTACCCAGATGTGTGCCTCCAAGTAAAAATACTGTAAACCTGTCCCTTAACGTGTGTGTACGATGTTTTCATGTACCAGCATAGACGTACGGTTCGCATACTGAACTCTGCCTGCATTGAGCATAGCACACGTTATACGAGACTCTGGTCAATGTGCGCAACAGTGCAATGTCTTTGGCGCAAACGATCCTGTTGTCCATTATAACAGGGCGCGATACGATTCCGATTCTCTCTAGGTGAGGCAAGTAAGTATATCTGTAGGTACATATATATATGTATATACGTGTCGCCGGATACACAAAGAAGGCTACGCAGCCTCTTGAGCGGAATGGCGATTCGCGTTGCGCGCCGAGGGTTAAAAGACCACAGGGTGACTTTCTAAAAAGTGTCCCCGACAATGGGAGAAAGCCTTTCTCTCACTCACCTTTTCATCGTTGAATTGCACTGGCGAACGACGACGGCTGCGTCGAGAATCGAGGAACTCTCCAGCGAGGCGCGGCGTCCTCGTCTCGAGGTGTCGCAAAGAGTGAATGCCAGGCGGGGAAACGAAAAATAAAAGGATAAACAAAAGTCCATTCCGCAAATAGAGCGGAGTACTGGAGCCTCCGCTCCCACGATAAACATAACACTCTGGGACATTCAACCCTAAAACCGAGACTGGATGTTCCATTTGCGCGAGATTCGCCAATCGGACCACGTGAAAGTGCATTTATTTTTCTTATGCATTTTTTCATTTTGTCGTTACTTTTATTTGTCAAATTTGAAATTTTTGTATAAGATGTTACTTTTTCCACCCGTTCAATCTTTATTTGACGTTTGACCGTGCTTATGCATTTTGCGTAAATCTCACGGTCGTCTCGTGCAAAATTTTCAGGGACGTATTTTACGGAATACGGTTTACTTGGATGGAATTTGAGGAATTTAAAAGAAAAAGAAGACACGAGAAGCGTTTTGCAATATTAAAAAGTGCATTACGGCTGATCGGGGGGATCGAATAATGACGAGAAGATTTTAAGGCGGAGATCGTGAGCCATGTAAATCCATTAACGTGGAATTTTATGAAGAGGCATGTACGAGGTGAGAGGGTCGAGAGAAGTGGGCGTAGAGCGTAGAAAAAAATACATATAGATATCTACGATAGATAAGTACCAGATGCATCATTAAGTATTTTTCAAAATTTTTATGATAATTAAAAAGAAATCACATTTATGCGATTATCACGAGCCGCTAGAAAAGTCTTTGGATTGAAACCACTCGTTCACCCGTTAGACACGACAAAGCCAGCCGGAGTGGACCTGTAGGCAAGAGGCTGCACTGCACGGTCCACTCTAAAAAGAACGGCTGAATTATTCGCAAAAAGGCGTACCAAACGCACCTCAATCTCGACAGAAACACGAGCTTTTATGGTAGAGCAAGAGTACGGACTATTTAAAAAAAACCGTCAAGTTCAAGTGCGCGCGGGAAATTCAAACCAATCCGCTCAGTCCAACAATGAGAAACAATGGACTGATAACCAGGCGGAATTGAAAGGGTCAAGAATTCACCTGGACCAAAAAGACCATACGAGAGACCTATAGGTACCGTAACGATACCCAGTAAGCAACATTAAACTGGAGCGCAATCAAATAGACATAAAATTTAAAGTAGCTCTCTACTTTACCGACCGTCCAGTACAGAAAGGGATAAAACTACGCGTTGTCTTCCAATCGTTCGACCGAGGTGCATTCTCAATGCAAATAAAACTAATCGATCTTCTCCATAGCACTTAGACAAAAGACAGTGTAGATGCGTCGATAAAATGATAACGAAAATTACGTGAACGATACGACGGAAGGTAGCCGGCGTATCATAGTGGTAATAAATTGTTCCGCACGACTTATTGGTAGCGCGTAAGCGCGTAATTACTTCACTTCAGCATCTTCGGAAACCCCTCATCAAGTAATTTTGTAATTTTGAAGCTTTGCCGTTCGATCTGGCCCTGCGGCCTTCGGCACCGATCATTGCTATACGTGCACACGTACCTATCTGCCTATATCTACCTACTCATGGGTCGACTGGACGCATCCGACTACCTGTACCGCCGTAACGGTCCGAACCTGTCAGGTAGCAGCAGCAGAGACTCCAAACAGTCCCGAACCAGTTTGCGGCAGCAGCTCGGCCGACGCCAAAATTAGCGTTCCGTATCATCGATCAAAGTGTGCTTGCTATGCCGTGAACATTCTTATTCGCAAATAGAAAAGCATCGAATCGGACGCGACAGTACAGAAGGACCGCCATGTTAATTCCGCGTAGGAAAATAAAAGATTTATAGGTTTATATTCTCTGGTAGGACGTCGGCATGTCATCTTATGAAAAGTATATTAATGGAAGAGGGATTGTCTGAGATTGAGGACGAAGAATAAATGTATAAAAAAATGGAAGATGGCTACGTTGATATGTTTTGAAATTCCTTGGATGCGAATAGACTGCAGTAACAATGCCGCCGTTTGCACAGCATGCAGTCCTGTGATCTGTTTTGTTTTTTGATTCTTGAAAATCTTGAATACGCTCGCGGATTCTTGCTTGATATTTATTTCCTTGGCAATTTTAATTGATAGGGCGAAATTGCGTTTCATTTATGTGCAACGGCAACGTGTTTTATATATTTAGTGCTTTATTTCTCCATCTCGTACACCCTTTTATTAGCTCGTGCCGGTTTCTTTTTATCGCCTTGGGAACTGCACGTTGCGCTAACCCAATATCCGCGCTTCAAACTCGTTCGTTACAGCCATTCGATGCTGTAACAATATTAACGTGCTGAGATGCTTGAGAATTATCACTTTCGAACGACCATGTCATGCGTGATTAAATCATTTTCTAATTAACGTTTAAACTTTTAACTATCGAACGCGCATCTATCTGTAGCTGTATTGTAGAACAGTTCAAGCGGATCGATATTAATGGCAAAGGGTTTACGAAGAGTAACGCCATTTACGAAGGGCTGAGAGTTCGTTGATTGACATTTCAATTTGCAAAAATTTCCTTCAACACGGTTCTTTGTTAAATTAATTAATGTATGCGACGTCGGAAATCGGAGCTGGGGTAACTGCAGCGCTTTTCAAATTTATCTTTACGAGATGCAGTTGGCATCAATGAGTTTATACTGTGGCTAAGCATCATGATGCATTTTGGGAAAATGACGTTTGACTGTATTGTTATTACGATGAGCCAAGTTAAATTTGTAAATTAGTAGACGCATGGATTATAGATGCAATATTAATGCACGATAATTATATAGGAAAATTCATTACTGTGACATAAATTGAAGTTCGTACTTTGGATTATGTATGAGCAGTAATTTTACTTAGTGCAATAATTCTGAACAACCTTGTATATATCGCTTCCTAGATTGTTCAAGCTGAACACATCACGTGAAGTTAGGGCCTCTAGTTGGTTCCTATGAAAGAGTCCAATTCGGATAACTTATTTATGTTGAATAATTTTAATGTGTAATTCCTTATCAGTGTGACAAACAAGGATGCTTAAGATAATAAATTATTCATTTATTATTTTACCCAGAAAATAATAGCGGATTCGTATACTTAAGCAGGTGAATTGAACAAACAGTTATGAACAAGTTACAAATTGCTTTTGAATATATTAGCTGATTCAAAATACTTCATTCAAGAGATCTTCCCAAGGGATACAAAATAAGATCTGAATAAAATTACAGATAACCTGCTCCACGTGTGATCTTGGCAACGTGCAAGAAAGACTTTGTAGTACGTTACACGGTGACTGTTTTTGGACTCGATAAATTAAATGATGCAACAATGGAATAAAAATAAAAATATTTTTTCGAAATATTATCTAATCAAAAGTAATTTATGAAACAAGAGAGTAGGTATGCGTTATATGTAAAATTATAATGTCAAACAATCATGTAAGAGTGAATTAATATAATTAACCGTGACCGATTCTTTTTTTTTTTTAATCAACTACTAAGAGCACAGTCTATTTTTATCTGCTTACTGAGTGACTGATTTTATAAACTAGACTTTGGTTCTTTTTTTGGTATTTTTCGTTCTTAATTTACCTACAAACAAAATTTTACTTGAGCTACGTCACTTCTCATTACCTTCTAGCTTGCGTATAATTCGCGTTTCTCCAGACTGCAAGATCGTGAGAAACTTCGCAATTCGAAAACGATCGCTTACAATTAGTCGCGGCGATCGTCCAATAGTAATTCCACTTAAGCGACAGGGAAAAATGAGGTGTCATTAGCAGCGAGACTGCATTTAATCAACTGTCCACTTTAAATGGTAGCCAATGACCGTCAAAAGTCAGCCAACACAAAATTTAACAGGGAAATCATTATATGATGCATGCAAGTGGCACTTAAATATTTCGTATAATATAACTGTTGATTTTTTACCTAATTTTTATCCGTCACGATGACAACACTCGAACAGCATATACATACATTTCCCGTCAAGAGCAAACAGTCCTCCTTAAGTCGTGGCGCAATAACAAAGTCGTACGTACCGTTCTTCTCATTAGTTTGAAATGTTTAATTATACAAAAATCATTTAATTTATAGTTAAACCGGTGCTCCGTGCACTTTCTATTTTACAAGTCATCGCCCAAGTACCGATATTTCGTAAGAATGCGCGCGCAACATCGTGTCTGCCATTCGCGACATTAAGCCGAGATTTAATGCAGGCTTTATCGCGGTTACGTCCGGGCTAATGCGAAGGGACGTTTGTTACACTTAAACCTTATTAAGGAATTGATTTATGTGCCTGGCAAGTACGAAAGTACCGAGAGTCTTTATCACGGCGCCACCGAATCTGCGATTAAGTTAAGTTCAGGAAAATAAAGAAGTACGCATCCTCATTAGTACCGCCGTGCACTGCGAGAACTGGAAACGGCCATTGACCGTTGACAGCGCCATCCAGGCGTCTTGACGCGCAACTAATTATTTGAAAAGTCAAATACCTTCATTCAAAGAGACATACTATACGTATTACCGTTAGTGCCAGCGATAAATTCGATAGAATCGCCCCAATAAATCACGCCGGGTTTATTATACTCCATAAAATTCATCGAGCAATTTGCTCTGTTTCTCCTGGATCGTTAAGAATTCTCTCTTTATTGACCATTCTCACAATTCTTTCTTTTTCACTGGCTTTATTTATCACAGCACAACACGCCATATCGGACGAGTCACGAAGATACGCGAAATCCTAAGTGGACTTATTCGTGTGTCATGATAGTACATATGGACAATATACATATATATACCCATATAAACACACACCTTCCTACATTTATTTACGTATCTCTCCTTCACTCTGTCTATCGACAAGAGACCCGGTGCTCTATGGGCATTGCAACTGAACCAGTATTCCCACGCAATTGTCCTCCAGAGCGTGTCTCAAATTCTCAATTTTCAAAGGTCTGGATTGCATTTCCTGAAACTGCCGTACCGTACAGCGCCACCGTCGATATACATAATCAAAAAGCATATGCATATAGATTGACGTGTTATTCGAACTCCAGGAAAAAGATCGTGCTAAAGCTCCCGTTTAACAGCGCCGATTATAGAGGCGCACCAAGAATACGTGGGAAGATAAGAATATACGAGATGGCACAATAATATCGTCGTTCTACGAGAGGATGGACATCAGAGATTACAAGATGGGTCTTGTGCGCGCATATAATATGCATAGTCGAGATTCCGAGTACTCACGTAGGATAATAATCTGCTGCTACTTGTGAGAAGATAATCCTTAAATAAGAAACGTTGCACTCAGATAGAAAGAAAATATTGGAAAATTGAGTGGAGAAAAATAAATTTTATAAAACTTTATGCGTACGCATGCGCATAAGCGTTTAAGAGCAATACAATACGCTTGTTGTTATCAATTATGCTTTTGATCCGAAATAATAGTTTCTCTGTATGTCTTTAACCCACTTTCATTATACTCGTTAATAATGTACAGCTCTAATACCGAAAGAACTTGTTTTCCTCGACTGCCGTCCGAAAGTACGTTGACTTCACGTTAATGAATTACATTTTCATGACAATTTACACACGACAAACATATTATATATCACTGTAGCAGTTAGTAGATCATGGTTGAACGTAGAAACTGTTCCTTTCTATTTCCTACGTATGAGATATTGTATATTGCGATAGGGTATAAAAAATTTCTGATAATCATCCGAATAAACAATGCAGTATTTTGTAAGTGAATATTTTTTTTTTCAAAATTACTCGTATTCCTTTCTACGTATTTTTTTTCTTACTTTCCTTTCGGTTATTGTCGCCATTCACCACCCTTAATTCCTATTTCCACCGTTCGAACGAGGCCGAATCATTACGTTCCAGCTTGCCGGTTCTATTTTTAAGTCCGTCTTTTAATTGCTCGCGCCAAGGTGAACGTTCGGCTCTCTTTGTTTCGATTTACTCGATTCGCAAGCGGCAGAGTGCATTTCTACGTGTTGCAGGACTCGCACGTATCAGCATACGTAAAGGTATACCTGCGTGGCTGTATCCATGAGTCAGAGGGAGGCCACGTAGGTATATAGAATCCGTTGTTGCGACAGTTAACGTCGTGTCGCGTTCCGCAAACATGACAGGGACACGGCGAAACGCAATTTTCTATGTCCTGACGATGACGAAGTGGTTCTGCCAAGCGGAGTCTCCCAGTCTGCCTACCTTTCGGCCAGGTCGCCAGTTTCCTTTATTTTATTCTATCCAACTCAAGCTGGACTCTCCGTATCGGCATCTTTCCTTCTCCCTCTCGTTTTGCCTTCCTTCTCGTACACTTCCCAGTGTAACGATTGGGTCATTCCTGGAGACACTGGAATCACTGTCAGTCTTAAATGCGACACCGGAACCCGATTAGGAAGGTGGGGTAGAAAATGGATTTAGAATACCTGATGAAGAAGGCTCAGGGGACATCGTGGAGACTAATGGCGTATTATCGTCTGTAGGTTGTAGTTTATTTTTCAAGTTTCTCATGCCGCTCATCTTAACTCTGCGTACAGCCTTAAGGACCATCCTGTCGCTCGCTTCTTGCTACCTTCAGGATTTACAAAAGCTGACAGTATGATACTGATTGTTCCAGGAGGAGAGTATGCACGAGACAAGCTCCAAGTGCTGTCGCGCAGCATCATCGAGGAAGGCAGATACGGTAAGTAGTAATGGAAAAAATATGTGAACTGTACAGTCTGATAGAGAAATTTTACCAAATAATTATTCATTCCTTATGTAGAAGCGTTAAATTGTTTTTTTTCTGTTTCCGGGAAAAATATGAAATTAGAGTCCTCTATACGGAAGTGTCTTCTGGTTTTTTGTGCTGTCCTGGATGGACGCAAGTGACGCGGTTCAGTTTTGGCTGCAACAAGCGTAAGTACAATCAATTGGAGTCCCAAGTCGTAAAATTGTACTACCAACATTCATCGTTTTCGTGAACACCTTGTAATTCATTACTTCGCTATTATGTTTCTACTTTGCCACAGCCACTTGCTCCTTGCCCTGTCTAAACGGCGGTACCTGCACTTCACCAGGGAGGTGCACGTGTCCTAAGGGTTTCACGGGAAATCAATGTGAGACAGGTGAGAAACCTCTAAATTATAGAACACGACCAATGGCCAATATTTGAATTTCACACAAAACAAATAAATCAACAACCCACGACCTGGTATACCAAAGTCCAAAATTAACCAACAGTAATCAATTTAATTCACTAAAATTGCCATTAAAAGCAAACTCATTATTTTGGTATAATTAAATTTACATATCAGATCCATCTGTATGCACATAGCTTATGGGTCTCAGACTATTAAAAGATAGAAGATTTATGATGGATCACGTAAGACAGCGTATGCATACAGGAACATTCTAATTACCACAGTAATCAATGACTCGGAAGATTCTTCGAGGCATCTTACGATCCGGCTACTAAGCAATATAGATATACGGGTATATGAAACACGTGGAACGAGTGATCACCACCCAGGACCACTTATGGCACTTACGCTACACTCGAACCCAGTAATCTTAGGATTATCGTTACTCACACGCGTCGAATTGGCCACCATTTTAAATCCACTTCCGTGAAACGTATCGACTTCCTCGTAGATGTGGACGAGTGCGTGACCGAGAAGCCCTGTGGGCAGCTATGCAGAAACGTCCTTGGTAGCTACGAGTGCAACTGCAGACCCGGTTTTCAACTGCAACCGGATGGTCAATCCTGTCGCAAAAGCGGTACGTAAGAGACCGTATTTGGAACGGGGAACCTGAAAAATAATCTCAATGTGAATTTTATATTTATTCCATAATGGCGACCATAATGTGGGATCCTTGCTTTTTTTTTATGTAGACGGAAATGGTACGGCCTTCGAAGCTCGCGATTTGGAAAACGACTACGGACCCACCACGACGAAAAAGCCGTCGATACAAGGTAAGCGGCGCCACGGGGTTTCACTGAATCGGGGAACGTAAAAATCTCCGATTACTACGGATTTCTGTTGATATCTGTTTGCTTGCGCGTCTACCGATTTAGCACTGGTTTGCTGGAGTTAAATATATATATTTGTATATATAGATTTGAGTGCTGAAAGTAATATAAATATATCGCATCGCGCTTGCCCACTTGACGCGATCTCCTCCTACGCGCTATACACAAATGGCTATATTTAATGTATGTCCTTGATTGCAGATAGTGAGAATGAGGTGGGTGATTCCGATCTCGATCAGGATTACGAGATTATTCTTAAGAGACTGATCAAACTGGAGAAGGTAACGAAGCGTTGGGACAGTTGATGCTTCTTAATTTTTATTTAGCTCCTTTCTGTTTTTTTTTTTCAATTCTTTTTATTACATCTTGGGAGAAGCACAATGCTATTCAATTAAATACTTTCACATGCAGCAATTGGCACGTGAGAAGAAACGGGATACTAAGAACACGGAGATGAATACGAAAATGGACATGACTGTGGAACGTATGAGGAAAATGAGCAGGACAGTTGATAACATGGTAAGAAGAAAATGAATGACTATGGAAATCATATGTAATACGCGCGTAAAAAATTTTATTGAAATTATTATTAATTATTTAATATTGCAATGAAAGAAATCGCATGTGAAATAATACCATAAAAATTTATATACATTCATTAAAAAAAGTTTGGCGGGGTGGGGGAGCGAGGAGTTATTGTTATAATTCATTTTATGTTTGCACATATTATATTATAGTAAATATTTTTAGCTGGTTATGAAACAAGAAATGAACGACATGAAGAACCAGATGAAGCTGTTTGAACAAGAGTCTAGGAAAATTCAGCAATTGGCAAACAGAATTGCTGAACTTGAGAATAGATTGATTGTACGGTGTTCTCCGGCTTTACCGATTAATGGGAGAATGAATTATTAATTAATAAGATTTGCATGGAAAGAATGATTGAATTTCTTTGAGAATGTCACATTTGTCTATGTATTTTATTCTTACACGAGAGGAAAGCTCACTACAATATTAGTCCGTCGACAAAACTGTGCCAGCGTCACTGCAATATTGTATTTCCTGTATTTACAAGTTTATAATGTAAAGTATCGTATTGTTGGATGTCAGTGTTTATTCATTGAATTCACATATAGCTTTGCAATGAAATATGAAATAGTCGTACATTTTGTACTGAAAAATATACATATTATCTTGTTATCTCAAAAGACCTAAGTTTAATGCTTTGAAATCTATACGATCTACTTTGCATTGCAAAATATTAAGTCTTCAAGACTGTTATTAATAATACAAGATAAACATTAATATGCAAATTACTTTTTGTCTCTTGATATATCTGTAGTGTATCAATAAAGATAAATTACTTCTTGCTTGTTTTATTTTTTTTCTCCTTTCTGGTCAATCTCTTTCCTCGTGTTTCACTTGCTTTCTTAGCTTTTGCTCTGCCTTTCTTGTGTTTCAATATCTTACGTCTGTTCATCCAGACTGGGTAATTGCCGTATTGATCACGCATGGTCTTTTTGTTATAAACTCTTGCTCCATCCTGTTCCATTACTTCAGTTTCAGCTGCCTTGTTCTTTTCTTTTGATTTCTCCTTTATCGTTCTGGCATCAGTGACTGTAACAATGAAACAAAGGTATCAAGCAAGGCTTTTATCTTGCTATGACTTGTAGAAATGTCTTGTGTAACCCACCTGTTGCAATTTCTGATATATCAGGCATCTCCGCATCAGCATGTGTATTTTCATCAATACCTAATGTTTTTTTCAATTTCTCCAATTCCTTAGCTCCATAACGTTCTCTCTTTACAGCCCTGCATTTTCTCCTCCACTTACTACGCAAGGATTTAGCCATGTCTTATTTCTGTGAACAGAAGAAGTAAATATAAAAGCAATTACATATAATATCAATGATGACTATATACTAAGGAACCATGCTTAGTAAGATACATATACATATAAATAAGATACATATGTAGGCCTAAATTGTAATTAAAGAAAAAAAAGAAGAGATAAGTAAATATTACTCTAGCAACAATTAAGACCGTCAAATTGTATGAAAAACAGTCTAAACATAACCTCCAACAAGGTTTTTTTAGTTTATACGCGCCGCTAGAAGACAAAAGATAGTAATTTTTATTTAGAATCTTACACTATACTTACATTGATTATACTAGTTGTTTAAATACTAATAAAATCAACTTGGAATGAATGTTTTTCAAAAATCAAATCAAAACACACACGTGCCAGCGTACAGGCGCTGCTAAAAGAAAGATTCAATTTATGAAATGTTGCTTCTACATCTACTTTACCATGAGTTGAAAATAGAAATTGAATAGCGTTGCCATCTATCGTTAGGTAGTACAGATAATTTCTTAATCAATAATAGAAATCCAATGCAGCGCCAATACATTGATGCAATCATAATCTTTTATAATGCGGACAACGTGAAATATATTGTATATGCACGTGCAATGATCACTCTTTGTGAAGAAAATTTTGATGAATAGAGAAGTGGAATTTAAAAAAAACATTTAATTATTATTTGCGCATCAAGAACGTTCTAAAGATGCTTTTCGAATATTTTTGGATACAATGGGTGGTTTCCAGTTAACCGAACTTGTGCCGATGTGTATCCCACTTGTGCCGACACAAAGCTACACCGTTGGTCATTTCGAAAAAATTCAGCTAGAGCCGACGAATAGCAGGTCCTTCTATCACCTAGACCCGAGAGAAGTTGAGTAATTGAAAGGTACCCAGTTTCTCTAGTAAAGGTAGCTTCAAAACTTTGTCGGACAAGTCGTATGACTAAAATATCAGAGTCCGCATTAGCCAAATGAGGCTTGAGAAATGATTTTCACTAATGAGAAGTTTCATTCTTCGACTTTTCCAACTAATGCGACTAGTCCGATAAAAATGTGAAAGCTCTCGAAAAACCATTCTACGATAACTCCGTTTTTATTCAGTATGATTTAAGTAAGATTAATAAATGAATTGCAACATTTGCGAAGGAAGAGTACGCGAATATTCTTTTCAAAGGTTACGCATGATTGGTTAATTCTACTTAATTCTGTAAGATGGAAACGTAATCAATTGCTGTGTTTACACGCACGAGTTTTAGAAAAGATTAACCAATTACGTGCAGATATTCTTTTTAAACCTTACACGTGATTGGGTAAGCCTGTTTAAAACCCGTGCGTATAAACTTAGTAAATGACTAAATACACGGCGGTCTCATTTCGGTTTTGTTAATATTGATCTAAAGGAACCGATCACTCCCAAATATTGTTCATAAGCAGAACTGTCTATGATTTATTAATTCTTTTAGATCAGTACTAACTAAAGCAAAATAAAACTATCGTGTAAACGTAACCATTGAATCGTAAGTTGTGTTGTAAGTCTTTTTTTTTTACAAGCCAATCAGAATTATTTTGTCTTGCTTTTCTCTGTTCTGATTAGATAGCAGAAAAGACTTACACCAACTTCTTACGATTTACGACTCGTTCTCGGTAGATATTCGTTATAAGTCGTTTCTGCAAGCTAATCAGAGTCAATTTCTCAGCTTTTTTTTACTGGCTTTAAATTTGGCTTTTACGAACGACTTACGAGAACGGCTACCGACAACATCACATTGAACAACAAGCTTAAGGCCGTCATAAGCCATTTCTACAAACTGATCATAGCAGCGAGAAAGTGGAGAAAATAATTCTTATATTTTATAAAAACTCACTTACGACAATCGTTTGCCGTCGACGTCATATTGTAGAACGGGATTGAATAGTTGTCCACAATAACCGCCATTAACAGGGAAAGCGGAAGTGTACTGTAGCGCTTCCTTTAAAATAGTTAAATGTAACTCAATATAATGTCGTCTAAACTCAACCCAAGCTAAAATTTAGAATTTTTTTTTTATATATTACACCATTATTAAATTACAGTCTATGAGAAATTTGAAAATGATTTATTCAGTTCAGTTTATTCAGTTTAAATATGCATATATAAATTTACGAAAACAATAAAATAAATTCTCATAAAAAATTGTATAATCTATCACATATCTACGATATTTATATTATAATAAAATGTTAAAAAAATGTATCTTGTATTAAAACAATTATTAAACAACTACAACAAAATATATTTATTAACGATACGCAATTTGCTTATCAGAGTCGGGATGGAATACCAGCTTGACATTCAGGGGACTTTCTTACGTACTAACCTGTATGAAAATGGCCCCTGAAAACGACACTGATCTCATGGCTCAATACCATATATTATTACAAACAAATATAAAGTACCACTAACATATTGGCAATGTCCAGTCTTTCCTGATAAAATATCTTACTCAAGGAATTATAAAACACTTGATATGTAGAATTACTAAGATCGTTCGTGTTACCTATACTCTCAGCATTCTTGAAAAGTCTATAATGTAAGCAAGGTAATTCTAAATAGGAGAATGTAACAATGCTAACAACGATAAACATAACATTTATTAATAATAGCAATAATTATTTATAATATTAAATAGGCAATGAAAACAAATAAGCAACAATATAGTTAACACGTTTTAAACTCTTTTTGTCCCAAAAAGTTACTTTATTCATAAAAAAATCAATTTCGCTTTGAATTCCGCAAAAACATTTTAGACGCAGCTGCCCGAATTCATGTGCAAATCTGTATGTTTACAAAGTAAAAAAAAAAACGAAGTAAATTTATTTCAACATTTTTTACTAAAAACTTCATAACCAGTGTCAATTGACCTGAAAATAAGAAATAATAAATTACATCATCCTGCAATATCAATAGCAACTATTTCGCCCTGTATGTAATACAATCACCGTTTCTAATTATATCAGGGTGTGTCAAGCTGGATAAGACAACTAAAGAATTTCCGAAAGCAATTACTCCACATCTTACGACACGTCATACACACGATAACGCTTGATATGAAAAAGCAAAAAACAGTATCATCTCTTCAGCAAAAATCATTTATGAACAGCCATAAAATCAAGGACATGTGAATCAGCCTTTATTCATTGTAATCGAAGACTGCGTCAATCAGTTCATTCCTTATCAAATTTTTATACGGCATAGTGACATTTGAGGACAGCTTATTGTACTATGATATGACTAAATAAAATTTCAATGTATTTTAATAGGTACACCGGTATCAAAAATTTTCATATCATTATCAGCAGTATCAAAATAATTAAAGAAAGAAGGAAATAATCGTACATACTTAAAAACACAATATCACAACGTTACGTCTTATCAGCCAGTACCGAGGTTATAAATGAGGACGTTCGCCTGTGTTAACGTAGTAACAATTCTTTAGTGGATGTGTCAACTTCTCATACGTGTGGGTATACCCTAATCTGTTTTCCACATTGCCAGTGAGCCAGTTCGCAATGGAAGACGTCGCTAGGTCAACCTGCGGTAGTTATGACGAGTGAGTATACGCAGCTGTTCACAATTGAAAGTACAAAATTCACATTTCTATTACAATTCATAAGAGTAAAGAAACAAGGATGATATGAAGTTTTCTGAGTGTTTTGTTCTAATATAATAATAATAATCGTGTAACGTAACTACGTACAATATCGTTATAATTTAAAACGGTGCCAATTCGAAAATCTCCAGCTGTATTGATTTCCAATTAATATCGGTGACAGGTTTATTCACTATCCATTGCAGTATATATTGACAAATCCAGTTTTCCGTATATTACTAGTCTAACCATGGTTTTTTTTTCATCTAATCAGAAATATATATCTGTACCAAAAATAGGTTGTGATAATAATTCAATTAGTGTTAATTAAACGGAACGTCGTTTAGGCACAAAAAAGTCTGTCGGTAACTCATGAGAATCACTCGAGAATAAAATTCAATTATACATATGAGTTTCACGAGAGCATAATAAACGGCCATATATTTTCGCATAATTAAACCGCAGTGGGTGTGACGCAATGTATGAATATATTAAAAAGATATTTTTTCGTTGCTCTCAAATTCTTATTGTTGGAAATAAAAATTTTTGTTGGACACTCTATCGGTTATAAAAATTACAAGAGTGCCACACGGTATATTGATTTCTTCCTGGAGAAGAAATCTGAAGGTACCCGATGCTGCACGAGATCAGGGACGTTACGCTGGTTGACAAGGTACAATGGCCTTTGTCGTAAGACTCGTAGCTCTCTCCGTTCGGTCGGCGTTCAATAAGCTTTTTATTCGCCGCCAAGATGAAGTCAGATTCTTGATTAAATTCCGAGATTTCAGTAAGATTCTAGACTCTGTGTGATCACGGTGGAGAATTTTATTCCAAAGTGACATATAAAGGACTTATTGTGGATTTTAGTAATTTTCGAAGAAAATATAGGTTTTTTTTTTATATTATCGTATATCTATCCGATTATTCGTGAAGTTTGTGATTTTAATGTAAAATGTGAATATACTAAATATTTGGTGCATTAACCCTGTATCTTGTGTGTACTGGAACAGTGCATGGCAAAATTACGTGGATTGCAATTAAACTCGATTAAAACAACGGACGCGGCTTATGTAAGAGCTAAAGTTAGAGAAGGGTGTACGGCCTTTGTATTTTATAAATTGTCGCTCACCACAAATTGACCGTTTTATTAAGCGTTGGCGTTTTTAATCTCGTTTTGTACGTAGCTACGTTGTAGACGGAGACTTGGTCCATTTTTCTTAACGATATATTTACCATTTTTTTTTCCAATTTTGGAGAAGCTCTAGAACGTGACTCACTGGTAGAATAAAGTAGTCTTGCTGAAAAAAAATGTATAGTGTTATATGAGCCGCTCAGTGCACACATCGATTAACTCCACTTTTTGAAAAATCTTAAATTTAAGTGTCAAAGCACTTGGTATAGTCATAACTTTTTATATTTATAATAACTTTCCTGAATAATAAAGATTAGCACCATTATACGGCACCATTTTTTTGGCCATTCAATAATAAGTAATTTACAATATACATTACTTCATCGCATTTCTCAACTTTTTGTTTTATGGAGTTAATCGATGTGTGCACTGAACGGCTCATATATGGATAATCGTAAAATTGAGGAATAATCAAAATTAGGATCAAAATGAGGATAATCAAAATTGAGGAATCTAACTCAGGCGAGATAAGGAGGTATAATCGGTCCACGGATTCGACGTGTTTTTTGACAGATCGAGAACGATTAACGAATCGAAAATACTCGATGAAATGTTTATTACAAAGTGTGTGGATTTGCATTAAATATATTTTTATTTTTCTATTTTAGCATTTA